TGTGTGTGTGTGTGTGTGTGTGTGTGTGTGTGTGTGTGTGTGTGTGTATGCACATGAAGATGGTTGGGGGATCAGCCTGGGCAATTGGAGTGATAGGAGTATTAAGTCTCCAGTAAAAGTGCCCGTGTACATCTCCTATTGTCTGCATAAGAAGAGAAACACACACACCGTATTGTCCCAGACACATGCACATGCACATGCGTACACACACACACACTTGAGTTGTACAATGTGTGTCGGATGTCAGCTGGAGGTGTAATGGTGCCTCTGGTACCAAATAAATCAAAGTCAGGCCTCCTCTGAGCGCAGCACCTGACCTTTTGGAAGCCTTCAGTTCTACTCCTACAATCACACAGGGACAGAAATGGCCCCCTGTGTTAACATGTCCCGTTGTTTTGCAACTTCTCACATCCATCTCTTTGTGTTGTCCAGGTACGTCGGCCCAGGGCAGACCCCTTCTGGCTTCCCTCCCCATCCCGGGACGGCCCCTGCAGCCTCAGCTCGACCTCAAACACCTCCTGCCCTTCAGACTCAATGGATCCTCCCCACTCAGCCTCTTCCCTAACTTTAACACGGTGAGTGCGATGGCTCTTTGGCACCTGATATCATGGAAAATAGCAAATAGATAAAGTGGAGCCACTTAATCTATCCTCTAGGAATTTCAACAACTAAGGTCTCAAGCAAAGACTGACAAAATATCTTATAAAAAATGTTCTTTTCTCATCTTGCACACGCTTGCAACAGTGGTATTGATCAAAAATCATGTCAACCCCCAACCAACATGTTAACGTTTTTAATACGCTGAGTCAGGAACAACCTTAGTTTTATGGGTTCGGGTTGTGATCCAAATACTTCATAAATTTAGTGTCAATATTCAACCTCATGATCAGTGAGAGAGGCATAAAGACAGACAGGGCTATACAGCCATGTCCTAATGCTATTCTGCCAGACCTTAGCCTCAAATACTCGTCCCCTAAACTCTCCCTCTGTCCCTGCAGAGGCTTTACCTTCAGTTTGGGATGCTAATCTTTATTCAAGCAGTGTTTCACCTCTGAGCAGTCCAGTTGTCACCTCAGTATCAGCATCTCAACAGATGAGACCCTTATTACTTGGTTCCAAGCCTCGGCAGCAAACTGTTCGGTGCTTACCTTGCCTCTGTGCCTGGAATTAAAAGCCTGTATCTTTGATCCTTTCCTTACCGGCCCTATACCCATTGTCGTTTTGTGTGTGTATGTGTGTGTAGGCACTTCTGATTTCTTTGATCCTAGTTTTACACGCGTGTGCTTGTGCACAAGGGTGTGTGTGTGTGTGTGTGTGTGTGTGTCTTCGCTTCACTCATCGCACACTGTGAAACCATCTCCAGTTCCGTGGTCTGTAAATGAAACATAAGCCACAGCTTGCGCTCCAGCATACACTTTACGCCTTTTCATACCAAGCGGGAAAAAGGTTGAAAGAGAGAGAGAGGAAGGGCCACACAGACTGCTGGCTGGTTGCATGTGTGAGGGGGTGGATAAACGTGTGCTGTATGATGTGAATGTGTGTATGTAGGGGGTCTCCAACCTGCTTTATGGCAACATTAATTCCTCTAACACACTCATGTATTTATATTAGTGGTGGAGGCAGTAGGGCAGCACTCTGGTCAGTGTTTTGTCTCTGTAATGCTTATGTTTCAGTGAGGAAATTGCTGTTTTTATTCTCAAATCAACGTCTTGGCCTTGCAGTTCTGTTCTAGCCTTTATGTTGTCTGATATAAAGAATTCCTGGCAACCCACAGCTGATATATTCGAGAATTTAGAAGGCCTCATGCTTCTTTGATTAGAAAAAAACAAAAGCAGTCATATTAGAAACCTTTCTTGCAGAAGAATATTAATGAATGCATAAAATCATACTTACAGAGTTGCAATGACATTCAGTCTTTCAGCCATTGTTATATACAGTAGAATACAACTCGCAGTAGGACGTGGAATCCACCACAACCATAATGCAGAAATTATAACTGTGGAAATAAAGTCAAATCAGTGTCGCTTCAGTCCCGGGAGGAGATGATTAGCCTCCATAACACACAGTCTGACAGCGCAGCCATGGCATTAATCACAAAGTCCATTCAACGGGGAGCCCCGGGTTCTCTTAGCCCTGATAAGGCACGTCTTGTCCTTTACGTGTGCAGGGGGGGAAGATAAATGCACCTGTCTCCAAAACTAAATATCCTCCGGTTCCCCTGGTGTCCCTTCTTACATCCCCTCTCTCTCTCTCTCTCTCTGTGTCTCTTTCTCCCTCTTTCTCTCTACCTACCATTAAGCCCCATCATGGTCTCAGCCGCCCAGGCACAGGATAAGTTCTGTCTGCACCAGGATGGCGGGGGAGGACGGAGGGCTTGGACAAAAGTCTCATTTATAGCAGTTGGTTCAGGATGGCTACAGACGGACAATGGGCACATTCTTTGGTTCCTAAAACAAATAGCTGTGAGCAACCTGCCCTGCTAAGGTGGACAGAGGGCAGCAGGAGTGGGAGAGCTAGGTTTCAACAGTCAGGCTTTGGCTGGTGAAGGGAAAAGTCAGTTGCTCCCAGAGGTGGCTTTGAGTGAGGCAGAAGAGGCCAAAATAAAACAACAAAGGCCAATATAGCCCTTAGGGAGAGACCTTCAGCGTGGAGGTTTCAGTGTCAGGTGTGTTTATATTCCCTCTCACACCTGGCCTTCTTGAGGAATCCGTAGTAAACAGACTCCACTCTTGCAGAGAGGCAGCTGCCTTGGACATGGCACAACTCTTTGTGTGGTACGAAGGGATCTGATGCTGTTCAGGCTTGTGTATCCGTATCAAGGCAGCGCGTCATCCTGACTGCCATCAATACACCAACGCTCCTTGATCTCTGAGCCACTGAGGCTGTAGTGCCACTGGTGTAGATCCAGTGAGCGGTCTAACTCTGTGTGAGTACTTCGCTGTCTGCGGTCACCGTTCTGCCAAAGCGAACAGAGGAATGGACCGGGCCAGGCCCCGGGCCAGCCTTGGGAGCGATCCAAGATGATTGTTATTATGCGATACCACGCTGAAGGGTGCCACAATGAAATCAGCTGTGGCATGCAGACCTTCTAATGAAGCCCCGGCTTTCACTCGACTGTTTATAGTACGCCGTTCTGGGACTGTCTGCAGTCTATTTACAGACGGTTAAAATTGAATTAGTCTGCCCAAAACCCTCTCCAAACGCTTCCCTCTGGGCTGCACTGACTCATAATGTATTAGACAGTCACATAACTGGGATTACAATGAACTCTAACTACATTTAAATACAAGCTGTAGTGAGGCTTGCAGCAACAGGCCAATGCAGTCGTGTTAAGAACAATATTACATATCCTGCAGAGTCTGTCTGGAGAGAAAAAGACTAAAGCTGAATTTATAGTCTACATAAGAGGTTAACAGGAGTCACCCTATAGATACCTGTATCAAGCAACAGATTGATATCACTTCACCATGTATTGTACATGATCAGCCTCTATCATGCTTGAATTATGTTCGCCACAGTAACTGTATGTACATTGTGATACAGGGCGATGGTGGGGGGGCTACATACATAGAATCCATCTGCAGTGCAACGGCTCTGCTAGATGTGTGTTCCTGAAAAACAGAAGACTACTCTACCTCTGCAAATTCATTCACTCTCAACAATCTCTCAAAGAAATCTGAAACTTGAATGAGAAAATACTAGCACCTTAAGCTGAGCAATCAGAATTCTTTCAGTCCTAACCATTGTCGCTTGTAGCCCTGACGTGCAGTTACATTTTTGCGAAAGCATGTGCACAGGTACAGTGTAACCGCTTAACACAGAAGTATAACTCCAGTCAATGGAAGTGAAAGCCACAACTCAACCGTACCGTTAAAGCAGCAAAGATCATCCATCAGATCTCTGAATACTCCTTGAACTTACGGGAAATTCCTGCGTTCTGTGTGGGTGTAGCTCTCTATTAAACTTGCATCACATGTTCATTTTTATGTCAGAAAGATCAATTTTAGGAGCCATTGTATTCAGTATTGTTACCATTTCTATCCATGGACACCAGTGCATTGTGACTAATACAGCATGGGGCCCATCTTGGCTCGGCCCCATTTTTGAGGTCTGGATGTTGAATTAAAAAAGTTGGCGCTCTATTCATGCATTCCGCCCTGTGAAAGCAGGGATAACCCTGATGATTACTTGCTTGCAATGCATGAGTGAAGAGTGAATCTGACACACATCTTAATTATTATCAAAACACAGTGACCAGTCACACACAGCAAAAAGGATTCCACACCAGTAGAATGTCTCCTGTCTTTACTGTGTCTGCAATTAAGAACTAACAGCTAACGGCCACAGATTTGCTGAAATCAAAATAGTTTTTTCTTCCAATTTTATTGCTTAACACAAAAGTACTGAGGTGCACAATAAAGTGACATTAAAACCAGTAGTCCCTCAGACTTTCATAGGTGCTTACATAAAATATGTCTTATAGAAATAGGATAAAAATGTTTGACGAATCATGAAGAAATTGTGTGGGAGTAGTAATATCATCAGTGTAATTGCCATTAAACTGCAGACCTTCTCAAACGAGGCCATCTTTATGTGAGGCGTCGATGTATAAACTGCTGACTGATCATCTTTTGTCAGTGGGCCGAGCACTGTTTGTCTTCTTTTTATATTGGTGAGGGATTTCTCTAAGTCATGTATATGTGTTGAAGTAGTTATTCTTGTTACTGAATTGAACTGATGGCTCATTGATTGCACCTGTTGACGTTGTTGTGTATTGTAATGGTACATTTTTACTTAGTATATATTTCTACTTTGTATAGATATTTCTTCGTAGTATAGTATAGGTAGTAAAGTATATATTTCTACTTAGTTTGCTCTGAACTCGGTTGAACTTCACTGTGTTCTCTACGGTATCTTTGCCGGCGCGCAAAGATACCTGTAACTGTGTTGTATGAGAATGTTCCAGCGCCAAGGCCGTCTGGCCGCTTGTTTTCGTTGCTGGCCGTTTGTTTTTCATGGTTGTTTCTCGCAGTCTGAGACCAAAATGTCACAAACGTAACATTGGCCCCCACCTTTGCTCCTTCTGTATAAAGAAAGCACGTTCACTTTACACTGAGACTGTACACATTCTGTTGCGATGATTGAACCTTCTCTGCGCAGAGAATAAATATGAAAAAGACAACCTCTGGTTTTCGGTATTCTTTATTTCAGCATTAAAAGACTCACGCAAAGCGGGTATGGAATTTTTTCCACCACAGTATCTGCTCCTTGTTATACTTTAGTAAAGGATAAAAAGAGTAGAAGCAGTTGGAAAGCATCCATGTTTTTTTGAAAAGCAATACAAACAGCCTGATTATACATACATTTGTACTTATTATAGTCACATTACTTTCGATGGGACAGTTCACTAGCAACACTCAGTATAGTTGAAATACATAAAGTAGGCCACTCCTCTCTGAGCTGGTTATTTCTTCTAGCTGGTTTTCCCTCTAGTGCGTCATAAGAAGTGTGTCAGTGGCACTCTTAATGCACTTCTGCTTTTTCTCTTTTTATAACAAGTAACAAAATAAAATACGTCCACTGGTCAAGTTACTCCATGCATGCATATTTGGCTATTTCTGCTAACTGGTTGACTCCATTTTTCTTTATATGGCCCAAAATCAAAAAAGGATGGCCACCCACCGCTGCACTAGAGGATATAAAAGTATGGCCACACTGAAGATTCAATCTTGTCTGTCTGGGGAATAACCTCACATCTGATTTGTGACATTTCTCATTTGGGAAAATCAAAATTTGATAGAACTGACGTGGTTTGTACTGGTCTTTTCTTTCTGCCCCTCAGATGGACCCTGTCCAGAAGGCAGTGATCAACCACACATTTGGTGTCCCTCAGCCCCTCAAGAAGAAACAGATTATCTCCTGCAACATTTGCCACCTGCGCTTTAACTCGGCGGTAAGACATGTTTTAGTGGCATTATATGCCTTGGTGTTTATGAGAAATATAGAGAGTTTGTGGGACAAGAAGAGAGAAATAGACGAAATGCCAGACTGTGTGATTTACAACATAAATGCAATCTGTACCAAAAAGTGTGTCATACTCAGAGAGAATAATTGCTTTGTTTTGTGCTTCTGCAATCTTCTTGAATATTGCTTTTTGAAAATATGGCCGCCCCTCATTTACTTAAGCCCTTCTCATCCCCACTGACTCTATGTGTGTGTGTGTGTGTGTGTGTGTGTGTGTGTGTGTGTGTGCGTGTGTGTGTGTGTGTGTGAATAAGCAAATCGTTGCGTCTGTATGCAAAACAAAAAACTGGAAGCAGAGCCCTTTCTGTAAATTTATGTAAATGTTAAAGTTGCTCATTTTGTTTTTGTTGTAGTTATGTGTAAAAGAAAAAAAAAAAAAGTCTAAAGTTTCCCTTTCAGTGGGATCTGTGTGTCTGTTGTTTTTGGTATGAGGGATTAGACAGCAGGGAGAGCTGTCGTTTATCAGCGAAGAGCAGAGACAATCAGCAGCCACAGCAGGAAGCAGCAGTCTCGGCTCCTCGTTCCATTTCTCTCATCCTTGCCACTCCAAGCACGCGCACAGAAATACACACAATACTGTAGGCTGGCAAACATGCGCACTAGAGCACACGCGTACATACAGATAGACACCCCGGCACACATCCCATGACATTTCATGCATATTCACATAAACAAATAGATAATAGTCCAGAAGGCCTTAAGACGTCTCGTCTGGCACTGTAAAGTACACACACAGAGACACACTTTTTTTTCTGGACTCCATCTTCAAAGAAGGGCTGAGGCACAGGGGACAGGGAGCTGAGGGGGGGGAGGAGACTCAGACGTGCTCCTCTCCCATTATAGAGAAAATCCCATTCCCTTCCGCTGCACACCGACTTAAAGAGGAGTGTCGGGTCTGGCTGTAGCTTTATCTGTCTCTCCGAGACCATGAATACGTTCCTAACACCTCCATGTACCCTCCTCAGAGTTTTCTAACATATTATACCAAGTTATCCTGACGCATAATTCTCAAAGGGGGGAAAAAATAAGCTTTCTCTGTTGCTCAGTAGAGCACAAATCGACCTTAAAGAGCAACTTAACAGCAGCTGAAAATTTTGTTTTTGCTGACCTCCATTGGTTCAACTGGTCACCTACCTGCAGTGATATAAAGGTGCACCCCAGGGTGTGTCAGTGCACTGTGACATCACTGTTGGGTGTGGGTACAGCTGCAAAAGAGCACAATTCTGGCGACACGTACGTGTTGTCTAATGACACTTTGACATATTGGGAAATACGCTTGTTCACTTTTTTTGCAGAGAGTGAGATGAGAGATCAATACCACTATCATATCTGTATGTTAAGTCAGCAGCTGGTTCAGCTAGCTTAGCACAAAGACTGAAAACACAGGAAGCTAGCCTGGCTCCGTCCAAAGGTGACAAAATAGACCTAACTGCACCTTTAAACTAACCTGGTTTCATAGGGGGTCGTGTGCCGCACTATTTCTTGGTCGAATAAAGTAACTCCCGAGAGTCTTGTCATCACTATCACCATATGTGTTGATGAAGATGATGAAGCATATTTCCCAAAATGGCAACTTATTTCTTTAATTTCACACTAGAGGAACACCTGCGCAGCCAAGGGTCCTCTGGTTGCCTTGGCCCTTTCTGCTGTGAAGATAAAACCCCTTTTCAATCCAGAAAAGGAAATGAAATGGTTTGAGGACGTGTTGCTATTGAGGCATCTTGCATGTTAATGTGTGTTAGGTATTTCTGTTATGAACAGGGTTGTTTCTACTTTCATTAACAGTCGAGGAGATGGGAGGGGTTTTGTCTGTCAATGGCTTCTGAAAAGGGCTTGAGGTTGTTTGAATGTTGTTTCAAGAAGTGTGTGTGTGTGTGTGTGTGTGTGTGTGTGTGTGTGTGTGTGTGTGTTTGAGTGAGAGTTTTCAGTTTGTCTTCGACTCTTGTACCTGCATACATTTTTTCATTTGATGTCTTTCCTCTTGTTCATTATATTTCAAATTCCTACATTGTGATAACATAATAGAACATAATAAGGCTACATGTATTTATAGCACACAGAGACAACTGTGACTGGCAAATGTTTTAAAGGCAACATATGATTACCACCAATCCTACACTTTTTAGTGACTTGCGGGGAAACGTGCACTTCAACAATCAAAGACATGAAACAAAACAGATCTGCCATTTGGTTTGCTTACTTCATTTTGTTATATTTTTTGCTACAAGCAAGTCATTATTGGGAGAGAGGGTTCAGCACCATATCAGAGCTGTGGGGGAGGCATGTTCCACGCCCACGAAATAGAATACTATGCACCAGATATAGTCCAGTGTTTACTCTTAGCCGAAGGATGGCTTAATCACTGGACAATGAAGGATCCCTTAGAAAGAGTGCTGTACCCTGCTGGACGGGATGGTGATGTGAGAACCAAAGCTCATTTCACACCTTGTCCCTCTGCCTCCACTGAGACTCAATTGGACGGAGGGGACTGGTGGTGGAGAAGGCGCTGTCTGAATTCGTCACATCACGCTAATCTCCGAAGCCTTTTCACGGCAGATCAGTCACACGATGCGCTGAAGTATTTTACAGACACTTTGACAGCCACGTTATTCATAGGCTGCCACTATGTCACACCATTCGGCTCGCTAATGTGAGGTGTACATGTTTAACTCCATCCTCGGACTGCTGGTGTTCACATTAGAGCTAAGCTAACACATGGGACTGGAGGCTGTGGTTGGGGGGCATGTATGTGCACCTGGAACCTTGGATCTGTGCACAGCAGACACTAATCTTATTTATTGCTCCCGGGACTTAATGTATTGTTAATGCTCAGGTAATCAGAGGAATCCACATTTTGCTCCTACTGAAACTTTTGTCATTTATGCATGTATTTATTCTTCACTTAGGAGCCCTTCAAAATATAGTCCAAAACCTTTGCTCAACTTGTTTTGGCAAGGATTTGCATGATTTATTTCTCGAAGAATTAAATCTGGATGAGAGTTTGGAAGGAAGCATTGCAGCAGTGGAAGAAAGACTTACCGAGCTCCACATGTCAAAACACCCTTCCGAAAAAAAAGGGTATTTTATACCTAATCCTTCACCCTTAATCCATTTATCACCTAAATATTGAGGGTATGAAAATAACCATATTACTCAGTAGTCTCTATGTTCTGTGTTATTTGGGGACATTTAAGTTGTTCACACTTTGGATTTAATTCAAACAAAACTCCTCATTTAGCCGGCGGGTTCTAGTTCTGCTTCTTCCCTCTATAACTGTGTCCTATCGAGGTCGGGAGCTGATGAGCGCTGATCCCTGGAGGTTGTTTTAGCTTTAAATGAGTGATCTCTGTATTGATTTCTCTGTAATTCCTATGTATCCGCGCTTGCTCTGACAACAGGGGGCTTTGTTCTCGGATTGAACAGGACCGTGAGAATGATGAGAATGTGAAGGTAAATCTCCATCCACCCGGAGGGAAATTTGTGTGAACGTGTTTATTGCTGCATCGCAGTCAGTGTTTTGCCTCTGATTTGTCTCAGATGTGTCTATGTGTTGCCACGTGTGTAGGATTTGCAGAGGCTGACTCTCACAGTGCACATTAATAGGGTAGTTGTGGAGATGGGATCCTCACTCTTGTTGCATATTACGCATGCAATTATACCTCTGGCCTCCCAATGTGCCAGCGCCGTTATCAGGTGGAAACAGACTCGCGTCCTCGCAGCCTTTATATGCCTGCAAGCGAATATTCAGCCGTGCATTTTAACATTTATTGCACGTGGGCTCCAGTCCTTCCTCCACACAATACATTAAGTCAGACACTCCTTTCTGCTTTTTCCTCCTAACCTGTTTTTTTTGTTTTTTTTTCTCATTTTCCTGCAGAACCAAGCAGAGGCCCACTATAAGGGCCATAAGCACGCCCGGAAGCTCAAAGCCATGGAGACCCAGAAGAACAGGCAGCGACGGGCTGGGGAGGCCTCATCCACAGGAAGGGAGAGAGACCGAGACAAAGACCGGGAACGAGATCGTGACAGTTGCAAGACGTCCACACCCGGGGCAGCTCTTCCTGCGCTCATGGATACAAGCTCAGTGGAGGGAGCGAGTAAGTAAACAGAAAGCGTCTCTTGATGATCCCTCTATCCTCCTCCTCACATCATTGACAGCTTCCATCCTCCCTTATCTCTGTCCCTCTGCTCCGTCCACTACGCGATGAGATTACATAATCCGTACACCTTATCCTCCGCCCTCTCGCCCTCCTATCCTCTGTTTCTGTGCATTCACACCTCAGCAATTTCAACCCACACGATACCCCTAAAACCTCTCTGACCCGGCCCTATGTCCCTGAGCCTTGTGATGGATGGTGGACTCCGAAGCTGTGGGATTGTGGGATGTCTGGGAGCAAGAGGTGTTGTTTAAATAAAGGGGCTGGCTGAGATCGATGGAAGCCTCACCGGGCTCGTTTTTACCCCCTTCGCTTCCTAATTTCCACTGCTTGACTCCCCTGCTCTCTCCTATCTATCTCGGTTAGATAGAGAGGGTAGTTGTAGGACCAGAATTGGTGTATTTGTGCAGCATGAAAAGAATGACACACAGTGCTGGCTGAGTTCAGAGGGAGCGAAATAGTGGTGAGAATTTTCAGGGGCTGTCAAAATATAGTCGAAACTAAAGTTGAAAGAAATCAAAGGCACTTATCTTATTTGACCAAACATTTCAGATGTTTTCACATCGGTGGTGTAAATACAGACATTTTAACTTTCGATGAAGAAAGAGGAGTGCACTGGTTTCCTTTCAGCAGAATACAAATGTTGACTTCTCCACACATGGCTGCAACTTTAACTCGGAGTGCACAAATTGCTTCGATGTCATTTTGACTGCAGAGTGAGCACATTACCTTCTCGTGTTGCACTCGTCTGGGTCCACACTCTTCATTTATCCATCGAAGGTGATGGGAGAGGGGAGCAGTTTTCCCTCCCTCTCTTCTACTTTCCTTCTTCTCCTCTCCTCCATTTCCCCTGCCCCGCAGAAGATCACTATCTGAGCAGAATTTCAAAATGCACTTGGATGCTAGATAGTTTGTAGATAGAGACAGTTTGTACTTTACAACCCCCCCCCCTCCATAGACAGGCTCATGTGCACGTTGATACGCTCACACATGCACACTTTTTCGCCTTGGGCACTAACCGTCTCCTTCAGAAAGGAGAAAGTGGACAAAAGACTGGGAGCCTGATAACACTCTCATCAAATCTCATTTTAATATTCCGCTGTTGCAAAGGAGAGCTCTGAAAGAGGGAAGCAGCACTGGAGATGAAACAAGATGATCAGTGGAAAATGAAAGATAAGATGAAAGAGAGAGACAGAGAGAGAGAGAGAGAGAGAGAGAGAGAGAGAGAGAGAGAGAGAGCATGGAGGGAAAGGGGGGTCAGAGGAAAGAGTAAGTAGATAAGTCATAGCTAGTTTTTATGCTGTGAATAATTTTACAGTTTCAAGGCCATTTTGTGAGGAGGAACACTCTTTAATAAGCCCAATTGTGTGATTGGCCTGATGTGAAATTGAAATGCAGCAGTGCGAGCCAGTGGTGGCATGCACCACAATGCCAACCTGTAATGGAAAAGCGCACCAAAATAACACTCTATGAAATGAGTTATGTCTGTCATGAAACTAAAGGCTCGTGGAGCTGTCGGAGGGTAATGCCCACATTGTCGCCCATCAGGAACCAATAACACAACTGCCGGCTGTTCCTCTCGGTCTGGCTCACAATAAACAGACCCAGACCCACAAGAGCAGCCTTTTCAGCTCCATTAAAATATCTACCGATGCATATTTAGACGTAGGAGGCCTCTACCATTCATGTACCACCTTCTGACTGAGAGTTGCTGGCTGGAGTTCAATGGACCTGGTCATTTCGGCTTTGTCGCGGAGAAATAGCAGAACACATACGTATAATATAATATAGATTGAATAGCAAAATGACAGGGCCACAATGCAGGACCTTGAACTGCTCAAGTACCAACACAACCATCCCCATCGTCACAGATGGGGATGGCCTATATGTTGTCCGTTTACTATTAGCCACCTACAGCATCTCTGACTTCCTCTAGATGTTCTTTCATTATTAAGAGTTCCTACATACAGGAGGGGAAGACGGGAAAGAGCAGAGACAACGTCTTCAGTCGCACAAAGGGACCAATCGATGCTTATAAACCATGTTCCAGACTGACAAAGGAGGGAGCGAGTTGAGAGCGCAGCAGGCTGGTGCCCAGAGACAGAGGGCCTGCATCAATTGTGACAAGCATCAATCACCCTCTGCTTTGATTTACTCCGCTGTTGGACCCGTCTTCACGGGGACTCAGTCTGTCACCGTGGAAATGATGATTTAAAGCAAGGATTTTTTTTTCCCCCGCGGGAAGTTGTTTATGTTCTGAGGCTGCCTTGGATCAGCGCTCGCCTGCTAAACCGAGTGCTCGCTGTCTGAATGCGTATGCGAGCATGTGCATAATGAGTCCGATATTCATATTCAAATGCTGTTTGGCTTTGGTTAAAGTTCTCAACGGATCAATCTGCCGAATTGAGGTCTCTTCAGATGTGTTTACACTCTAAAAGCCTGTCGTATTTAATTGGACGGTTAAAACATGGATTTGATTATTTTCAAGTTAAAGAAAACTGATGATTGCCTGCATAACATTGACCCAAATATCCATCATTTTCAGCTGTGTAGTTCTACTCTGCAGAGGCACTGCTGGCACTGCCAATACGCTGGCCTTTGGTCTGACAGTTGTTGATGGTCAGAGAGCAAGTGGGACAACAACAGACAAACAAAGGGAGGATGTGTAATGGTATTTATCAAACTTCTTTTCACTTCCGCAGGATGTTTGACCAAGAATCTTTTCACAACTTCCCTTCAGGACTATTTCCATAATTAACCCTAATCCATCTGTGGGTTAGTTTTCAATGAAGCAATTCATCTTTTCAGACTTTAAAATTCCTTAAATACTCACAATGTTTAAGAGGTGTTTTTTATTGATAGTTTAGTCCAAACAACAATCCAAAACCCAAAGATTAGATTTAACTCACAATGGAGCTATCACAATATCAGATTTACACACGGTTATCGTGATTAAAAAAAAAATCAGGATGGCGAGGTTGTCGCGATATCTAGGCTATAAAAATGTTGAGAAAATCATCCACAACTTTGGTTATTGTGCGCTTTGTCTATTTTATTGCACACAAAATACAAATATGGGGAAGTGGAGAGAATATATGAGGCAACGGATTATTTACAGAACATCGTATGTGTATTATTAACATGTATTTCATTGTTAAATATCACGGTTAACGTCAATACTGGTATATTGCGACACCCTTAATTCACAATAATATAAAAAGAGAATAGTAGCAAATCCTCACATTGGGGAAGCTAGAACCAAGGGAGGAAGAAGAAGAAATAATGAAACTGACACTGTTGCTTGATATATAGCTGAAATGATTATCAATATTCCTGTTGAGTGCTTGATTAATGGACCAATAATTTCAGCAGCGTAGCGTAACAGAGTAGAAGATTCACTGATGATCTTTTTACTGTTTAAAAAATGTAAATATCTTAACCTCAGCTGGGATAGCTAAAATGATTGTTTGCTGAATGAGGTCCTTCAGGATCTGAGTGTTTGGATCTTTGAGGGTTTGAATCCTACCAGCCTCCATGTCACTTCCTCTGTAAGGTTCCAGCTAAGTCAATTGATCAATATCACTCCCCTCCAGAGACTTGCTCAGGTGGCCCCGTCTTTCACATAAACTCAGGATCATACTTACCCGCAACCCCTGTCCCCAACAGAGGAGCTCAAATCCCTCAGGGGTCACTCTCATTACAGCGAGGGGGATGTCTAATCTTGCTCTTTTTCTTTAACGGGAATGAAAGAGGAAGACCCTTATCTCCAATGATGAATTCACTCTGAGACGTGAATGGGAAAATCAATGGAGCAGAGTTGGATAGAAGAGGGTTGTGAATGTGTGCGGGGAGAAAGCACACTAAATGAAATGGAGATATGCAGCGAGCGTAGCGCAAAGTGCTCTGGGGGTGAAGTGTGTGACTCCCTCAGGAGGGCAATGGGGTGAAGGGGAGATGTGTAATGGAACTCCAGTGACTTATCGGCCCGGGCCCGGCAGTCGGTGGGTTTGTTTGTATTGACTGAGACTCCGGGTCCACTTGATATTTGAATAGGGATGTAGAAAGCTGATGGCATTTCCTTGCCCAAACCAAAACTAATCTAGTCTGCGCCACATTGTTTAAAACAAAGGCTGATAGGCTGATACTATATCAGAAAATTACACAAAGCGAGCACTTGAAAAGCACTCTTAATGTTGCCTACAATATTGTAAAAAGAGAAATGGTTATTTGGAGATTAATTCAGCCGACTTTATATTTGCCCTGAAAAAGTTCAGTCAACTTAAAGAGAGATGTGCTGATTACGCATGGGATTTATTCAGACTCATTGTTTGTTTTCAGACATCGTGCTGACTTGGTATTATATTAACTGTGATGAAAAAAGCTTATAATCAGTGTTGGGCAGGTTTCTTGAAAAATGTAATCAACTACATATTATATATTGAAAGAAATCAATTACATTAACACTAATTACTCAAAAAAGTACCCAAAACATATTAAGTTACATAACTTGTAATATAATTGTTTCACTACCCATACTTTAGCTCATTGTTTAGCATATATTTACTGTTTTGGTTCAATCCCACGAACTGGCACTATGCCATGATCTGGGAATCCTGAAGCAATAACCTCATTGCATCACTGTAAACCACTGTGAGCCTTCGCATACTTTTCCTGTAGCTACAACAAAGAAAGGAAAGGAAATAAACAACTGCTAATAAGTTCCCCAATATCAGCTTAAAATGTGATAATATGTCAATGTTGCGTTCACAGCTTTTTTCTGTTCGCCAAACAAATTATTGCAGGTTTAAATTAACCACAGCTTGCTAATGTTATCCTCTATTTCAACCTTTTTATGCAGGTCTTCAGTCTGACCAAGGACCAGCCAACCTGGAGGAAAAGCTTGAAGAGAGTCCCGGGAGCTCAGTTATGCAGACACCAGTGTCCGAGGTTTCGTCTGTGGAGTTGGTCACCCTTTCCCCTCCTCAGATATCGCCTTCCTCACACCTCTCAGAGACTGCCTCAGACACCAGCGCCCCCAAAGTCCCAGAGGCTATCGAGGCCGTGGGCCCCGTCACTGAGTCAGGCAGCAATGCAGAGATGTCGAGCATAAAGGAGGATCCCCAAACAGATGAGGACAAGGACCCCAAAAAAAGCAAGGCTCACCTACATTGTCCTGTCTGCAAAGTCACAGTCAACTCCATCTCCCAACTGGAAGCACACAACAGTGGTAAAAGGCTTTTAATTCAAGACTCCATTTGGTACTAACTTTTGGTTGGTTGGACAGCTGAGCATCAAATAAATGCCTGCAATGTTATTTAATGTGAACCATAACAAACCTGGCAGCTCTCTACTCTCTCCACCAGGCACAAAGCACAAGCTGATGCTGGAAGGTCACAGTGTTCTGCCTCGGCGCAGGGGGAAGGTGGTGGCAGCTCGAGCGGGCTGCAAGAGCAAGAGGCTGGCTAGCAAAGGCAGGATCAGGGTGCCCAGCAAGAACTATCAGTGTGAAGTGTGTGAGATCTGTGTGAACTCTGAGACCCAGCTTAGCCAGGTAAGTGTCAAAAGAAACATGAAGATTTAGGTTGTATTGCGTATTTATGTCAAGTCCACCATTTAATGTTTCACTATCTGCGTTGTGGATTTTGTCAGCGGCCTTTGTAAAAGTAAAACTGGTCAACTTTAAGACAAGAGTTGGTACAAACTCATGGATGTGGCTCCATTGCAATGATTCCAATGATTCCAGGTGGTATATGTGATAAAGACATCAACAGAAATGTGTATGTGAAGCACTGGCAACGTACCAAACTTATGACCTGACTTTTTAGTGCAACAGAAGAGATCTGAACTGTTTTGCTATTAAAGTATTAAAATAGGAGGACAAAACTGCAAGAGCTGTCACTCTGGGACTTTGCTCTCCTTCCCGCGCTGTATGAAATGAAAGATGAGGAGGGAAGCGGGGGCCTTTGAGAAGTCGTGCAGATTTGTCACGGCATACTAAGTGAGAGTGTTGCTTACCCGATATGATTTTGGTTAAAAGTGCATTGAAGCACTGTTGACTCTGTTCGGGGAAAGCACTCTTGACCAATCACATCAGGCAGTGGAGAAAATGTTGCATATAATTACCGCACCTCCACAGACAGATGATGTGGTCACAGAACTTCCTGCACATGATTAGCAATTACCGTACACATGAAGAGATATTACACATTGAACCTAGACCAGACTGACCTCCGATGTTACACTTATAAAAGCTACCACAAGCGCTGTGTATTAACATGATAAATATCTATAATGGGATTTCAAAGGCCTTACATAATCCAAGAGATCCATCTGATGCTATGACGAACTGCAAAGCCCCTCAGTGAGCAGGCATTAATTTACCACTCAGGATTGCAAGCTACTAATGCCGCCTGTATTTCATTTTCTGGTTACGTTGACATCAAACCAGGTTCGGGAGGCAATTTCTCCCCTTTTGATGTTCATTAAATACTACATCTGAGTAAAGGGATTGTCCTGGAAACTTTGCCTATACGCTGCAGTGGAATGCTGGAAAGATACAGGATATGCTGACATGTGAGCACCCTGGCTGCTTTAGCCTGTAAATGCATTCCACCAGTCTTACATAAACAACCTCTATCCCAGGAGGACATAAGCCTGTTAGTACCGCAGCCAGTAGAAGGAGATTGTGTGGCAGCCCTAGAAAGTAAAGTGATGTAATGTCTGTGGACTTCAGTCATACTCGATGTGTCATGTATCCATTATTAATCGGCAGATAACATTTGCGGTTGTACCACTGTGGTACGGCAGATGCTTGTTAGCTCGCTGATTGTATTTTTGCTGGTCTCGGCAGCACATGAATAGCAGAAGGCACAAGGATAGGCTGGCCGGAAAACCACCCAAACCCAAATTTACCCCCCACAGCAAGAGCCAGCAAAGCACCAGCTTAGCGGTAAGTCTCAGCATAACGACACAGACAAACAAAACACCGTCCCGCACATATGCACACATGCACATAGTGCACGCACACGCACTCGAGGAAGACAAGCAGAACATGTGCCGACATTGGAATAAATTCAGTCCAGCTTGTAAATGAATGCATTTTTAAACCCCAGTTTTAATTCATCTCCAGTTACAGTTAACTGGTTTGACCCCAGCTCGAGCAGACATACAGTGAAGAAACACACACAGATCTTGTTACATTGAGCTTAGGGGCTTAGCGTGCTTGTGTGCCTGTACTGCCATAGAGGTTAAGCACACTGTTCCCTACACCTGAGACTAGTCTAGAGTAGTCCTGCTCTCCCAAACTGACCAGCTCTGACATCAGCAGCCTGAATCAGCACTCCAGATTAATCACTTCTCTGCTCCTGTCATATACACACCGCCCCATCTCTCCTTCTCCCCATGCTCTTCCTCCTCCTCCTCCTCCTCCATCCTACAGAGCATGAGATGGAGTGGCTATGCAGGCGTGGCTGTGTCTGCCATGAAGAAAGCATTCAGCCAGTACAACCTCACCTCCCTCACCTCCCTCTCCTCCTTCTCCTCACAGGTTAGTCTGGGGTTGGATTGGAGGGCGGGGGGCTTCAGATGGCTGAACTTTAGGCCTGGCCACGGAGCAGGGGACTGAGCAGAGAGCATGAAGAAATAATGTTTATAATAAAGGGATAGTTCTGATCTTTCTTTTTGGTTTGTGTACTCATTTACCTCTCTAACTCTCTCTGAAATATATGATTCTTAAGTAAAAAGTCAGAGGTACAAGGCTGTGGATGTATAAATGCCGACTCCTGTGGATCTTTGAGTAAAAGCATCCAGCCACAGAGCTTAAAATTCTATTACGTGCACCATTAACGAGATGATAAAGCTAAAGAATACGTTGTTGAGAAATGTGATGATACAATCTGCCGCTTGAATCAATTCGCTTTTGGGTTCCTGGTCCATTTTTATTTGAGTAACTATGACATTGTGTTTTGTTCACAAATTCAAAGATGAAGCATTTTGAATTTGCTGTTCTATAGCAAAGGCTACTGAGGCTCATTGGTATTGTAGCATTCACCAAAATGACGTACAAAACATGATTTCTCAGAAACAAAACTGAAATAATTTAAACGGGGAGCCATGACATAAACGCACATGATTGTTAAAGGGGACATATCCATGCTCATTTTCAGGTTCATACTTTTGGGTTTCTACTAGAACCTGTTTACATGCTTTAATGTTTAAAAAACACATTATTTTTCTCCTACCGTCTGCCTGAAATCCCAGTCTGCTCTGATTGGATGTGAGAAAAATATGGTGCACCTGCACAAAGGTAGATCTCAAGCCGCCGGTGGTGGTGCTCAGATGGGGGCGGTATATTCCAATGAGCCTGCATGTGACATAAGAAGGGGAGCCAAATCTGACTGGCTGGTTGAATCACATGTTTTCTGATCTAGACAGCCCACAAACAACTGACTGGGTTGTCTTATTTCACAGTCTGTGTGTTGGTAGGCACTCCAGATATCCAAATGTATGTGCACAAGAACTGAAAACTGAGTTGTCATGATACGTCCCCTTTTAATTATTCTGTTTTTATGTTAATTCATTTTGAGGGTCATGTTTGAATACAAATTTGAAATGAGATCACAGAACAGGGGAAAAACATTTACCTCCCACTTTGCAACTCTATGGATGGACATTAGCCTGTTGATTCCGTTCATTTCTGATGCTCGAACCTCTTCTCAGACTCTTTGTATCATGAAACTTTTTAGTTTGTTCCTTGATAGAGAGGATGCAAAAAGCAATCAGGAGTCCAGTTATGTATGATATTTAGCAACGTATACAGAATCAGAATCAGAATCAGAATCGGCTTTATTGGCCATGTATGCGTGCGCATACATGGAATTTGACTCCAGTTACACATTACTCTCATCGTACATACACACATATGAAATATATACAATAATACAGATGCATACAGATGCATTCCTCTACGTTTGGGCCAGTTTGGTGAACATGTTTGCCCTCACTATGTTCTTCTCTCACTTCTCACTGTTCCCCCCTCCTGTCCTCTCCAGACCAAACTGGCCTGGCAGAAGCAGCTGACCAAGACCTTGACTGCTGGCTTCCTGCCCAGCCCCCACTTCACCCAGCCAACTCTGTGCACAATGGCAAGTAACCCACTGGCTCTGCGCCACCCAGTGGGCACCACCACCTTCATCCAGCACCCCTTCCTGGGCCCTGCACTGTTTCGGCCTGCCCCGGGGCCGCTGCGGGCCACACACACACCCTTCATCTTCTCCCCCTACTAAAGACTTGACCCACTTCCTGATTGAGCTCCACCCTTGTCCCTTTACCAAACCCCAGGCCCTCCTTTAGTGTGACCCACATGACAAAAGGCCACACGCAAACTATGCAGCCCGCCTGACTTAAAATGGAAAGAGTGCACAAGTCCTGATGCTCCGTAGGCCATTAGGCCTGAGAGCTGTTCCTATCATAAAGGCCAAGATCCCCCATCATGCCTTCTTTCTGCTCCTCTTATCATGACCTAAGGAGCAGGACAGGCCTCCAGACAGTGACTGGTGCACAGAGGCCGCTTTTATAGCCATTTCATGGGTCAACATGGTTTGGATTATTATATTGTTGTGTAATTTATTAGAGAAAAAATATAGACACCTCTAGATATATGTTTAGTGTGGTTGCCACAAAATAAGGTCCCTTTACTTGATGCTCTTTTAAAACGTTTTTTTAACTCATTGGTTTGGGGGTTTCCTGAAAGGTGGGAGGGTCATAGGTCATTAAAGCAGCTGTGCCGGAGGCCTCCTCATATGGCTGGACAAACCTCTCTCATTGATCAGTGTTTTCAATCAACAATCTTAAAGGACCATCTGAGGTCAATTGCTGTCACGTTTCATGTTGGTTATGGCGATTATCAAACAGTCCTGTGAGTGGTATGTAAACCTGCATATATTAAAACTTTACTCTCTGAGTCACAGCCATCGTCATAACCCTCCAGATATTATTTTTTTTCCTTTCCTGTATCCGCAGGATTAAGCGCTCATTGAGGTCACAGAAAAGGTCAGCTTGTCAACTTGACTTTGTGTCAATTTGCAAATCTGTCTTTGGAGTCTTTTTTTTTTTTCTCGCCAAGCTAGCACCACGAAAACATTCTCGCAGCTATGGATGTCTTAAATTCCCAAAATGCCATCATGTCATTCCCCTTGTGACTGCTCTTTTTCCTTCCCTTCCTCCTTCACCACGCTGTCGCCTCGCTTCAGCATGAGATGATGCTGATGATGATGTTGATGATGATGAGGAGCAACACAAACACGTCCACTAACACACACACACACACACACACACAATGAGAACACACAATGGATAACTTGAAGACTTGATGGGATTGCAGAGCTCAGTGAAAAGTTTGGATGACAGTGAGTGGGGAGGCTGCGCAACCAGTTCTTGATTGACATCCTGTCGCACAGCGTGGGAAGGAACAAAGCATAGTGCCATGGCAACCACATTAAAAGCACCTTAAAACTGATTTTACTTAAAAAAGCAATGGAAATTGTGTTGATATTCACCTTTTGTTTTGCCCTATAGGTGTATGTTTTTGCATATCAATTTAATTTGAAAGAAAAAAAACAACAATCAGCTGGGATCGTTGACATTATGGTTTGTCCATAACTAAGACAAGTCTCAACTTCAAAGCAATACATTCAGTATGTTAATGTTTATGATGTGTTTTTAGTGTGTCGATGGCTTTATCTACTCTATACTGTACACACCTGTAACAATGTATTATGTACTCCAACACAGCCAAGGGCCAACTCTGAATTGCCATTTGAAACGAGGGGCCGTCCTTGTCGGTGCTGCCCCTGATGCTCGATGCTCGCGGTCCGTCTCCACATGTTGTGACTCGGGGGGGGAGCTGAGCCGTTTCCATTTATAGCTGCTCTCGCGCTGCGGAGAGGGTGCTTCAGCGCCATATGACATTGCCGTTTCAATTTTTAGTGGCGCGGGAGGACTTTTGTATGACTTCCACTGAGCGAAATGACGTCAGAGACAAGTTGTTGGGATAAGTGTCACAAGTGCAGCATCAACTGTTATATTGCAGTTCATGCCCGCGTGCTGTCTCCCCCCCCACCCAGGATATCTACTAACTCTCAGTCCTCCCTCTGCCAAAAATGAAACTGTTGGCATGGTCTCATCAGGACTCTGAGTGTAAACATCATCCGTCTTTCAACAGTCATACCAAATCATGTACTCTTACATTACAGTAATGGAGCAAATCCTATGCATTCTTTCATTGTGCAATATGTATAGTTGTGTGTGATGCAGCAGTGCCATCTGTCGTAAAAACCCTGTAATTGCCATCCAGTGCTAGTGCTTCTACAAAACCTTTGATCATACAGTATGTGTATTTCTGTTTAATTAAGGACCCCCCCCCCCCCCCAAGTCTTTCTGGGTAAGCGAGGCCATACTGATGTGATTCTCCCCAGTCGCACTACTCAGTGAACCAGCCAGCCTTTAATCGTCACTGTTTGTTTGTTTCTATCGCTCAGCGGGAACTCTGACCTAGAGAACTGAAACTTTCTTAAAATAAATAATCTAGAGAAGGCAAATTATATGTAGAAATCATAGAGGAACTATAGAGATTTTATCAGCGTTGCTATTGTTATCTGTATCATAATCAACTGCTATCATAGAGGAGAGTAAATTACGTTATCGTAGGCGCTGTACAGCATACGGGGAAAGGAAAAATGCTTTGCTATCTTTTGTTCTTTGTTTGTTTATTTACATGGTTTTGCCAAGATGTTTTTTTTTAAGGTACAACAGAAAATATTTAAAACAAAAGTTTTTTTGAGTGAGATTTTTTTTTGTCCTTGTTGACAGTGACTGAATTAATAATGTAATTCAAGGCCTTTTTTAGACAATATCCCAAAGTCACATTAGCCAGGCCTTCTCAGGGGTGACAGGTTGAGCAAATGCTAACATGACCATCCATTCAGGGTATCCCTCCATAGCTCCAGAGAGCAGGAAACACTGTACGCATGGATGGAGTGACGAAAAAAACAAAAATATATTTACAGTGCTGTACCATAGAGAGGACAAGGGATGGATTTTGGAAAATAAAGCTTTTAGAAATTGTAAAAAAAAAAATGCTTTTAATGACTGTGCGTGCATGTGCGTGTGCGTGTTCCTGCATCATGGGTAAAAACAAAGAAACGTCCCAGATTGCTATTTGAGCAGTGACACTCTGTGTGTGGGTGTGTGAAGAAACATAACGAGAGAAAACTCAGCCAGATGATTGCTAATGAATAAACAGTGACAACATCAATGCTCAGATTTGGGGAGGTACTCAAAATGGCACTTTCTTTGATTGAATTATGTTTCGTTAAGTTGAATCACGTGGGGAAAAGAGGAAAAAGCATCACAGAAACAAAATACCAGTAATTAATCAGTCAGTCCAGCCTGAGCATGTCCAGCTCTGAGAGTCAGGAAATAAAAAAAAAAAAAATGATTGTACATGTGTGTTTGCAGGTGCAGAAGGTGCCGGCTCCTCTGAAAAGTGTGCAACACCCTCACAGCATCTGTTTATGTGGCAACCCACAGCTACTCATTTTTGTGACAGCAGGTCTGGTGCATAGCCAAGACACGACGGCGAAAGCAAATGGAAGCTCATGTTGCATCTGTGGCACACAGAGGAGTGATAGAATGACACACCTGAGAGGCTGATGTGGTATGGAGACAGGCTAATCTCATTTATCTGCAGATGATTCTCCACAGATGGCCGTTCCAGAGTGCGTTGTTCTCTGAAATGGCTTTAGCGGCTGCAGAAAGATTTGGTACTAGACAATGAATCCACTCGGATTGTTGAACAGCAGCTGTGTGTGTGCCGACATGACACAGTGTTGCCCGTCTCTGCCCATCCCTCAAGGCAACGTAGACACAATGAAACCGGGCAGAGGAGCGTCTTCACAGTGATTAACTGTGACTTTTATCTCTCTCACTGGATAATCATGTATTTTGCTTATGTTAGCTCTGTGATAATTATCCAGTTTTCTTGTTTGTTTGAAGGAGAGCCCTTGGATTATTTATTGACGTTGTCCTCCACGCCTCAGGCCATTGTGCCAGCCCGTCCTTTGTGGAAACAGGAGATAAGCACAACAACGAAGCCCAGCCCCTACTGTGGTGCCAATCAAAGGGAAGTCATCGGATCCCCAGCACCTAACGCCAGCGATATGGCAGAAGGACATGATGACCTTGCTATGCTGTGACACATGGTGTGTATTCGCTGTATTGATCAGTTACCTTATCTGACTCCTCTCCGTGGAGGGAGTCGACACCCTTATCTCCTGCTGTGGTGGTCAGCCACTGCTCCTCAACTCAAAGGGTCACGACTTACAAACGTGTGTGTGTGTGTGTGTGTGTGTGTGTTTAATTGAAAGTAAATGGATGATTATGAAATATTTATAAACTGGAGGAGAAAATAGACACGTGGCCAGTTTCCTTTGATGCCACTTTTAGCTTAATATTCATTGTATATCAATTATCGTGACTGATAATGTAACATAATGTATTGTGGAACATGATGTGTTTGATCCAATATAGCAGTAGCACTTTATTTTACAGCACAGTCACTTGATATTTAAAAAATCGGAGTAATCAGCAGTAACATAATCATTAACATATCAAACTAATTGTGTTTAGTACCACAAACATATGTCCTGACTTTAATAACATTTATTTAGTATTTGTTGGTACAAAAATGCTTAGTTACGATTATATACAGTAATTGTCAGGTAAGTATTAACTTCTGTAGTTATTGTTTTGTACACAAAAGTAATCAACTTCATAAAATAGCCAATAATATACTCATATAAAGGAAGTACAGTAGAGAATTGTGAATATATACACAATTACTATAACTAATGAGTAACATGACATCACTTATTTACTATTTCTGAATATTATTACACATGTTGATTTCAATAAAAAGTAAAAAAGAAGAAAACAGTCGTAGAGAATGGAAAATGATAAACTTCTTATTATTATCATATTCTGCTGCTGATTTTCGTTTCATTGGATAAATGGTAAAGTTTTAATTAGTTTGCTCAAACATATAATGCCTAATCATACATTGTGCCTATAGTGCCTAGTTATTTTATTTTATCCATAACCAGAGTACAATTATGTATTAATTACAATTATCAAATATGTAACAGTATTAGTAGTTACTACAGGACATTCCCTTTTTTGGTTTCTTGCATGAATATATTTCTTATTGCAACTATGGAGTATAATTACTCAACATAGATTTTCAACATTTTTTATATTACTATATATTATATATATATATATACAGTATATATATATATATATACTACACACCACAGATGCATAACCTATCGTAAAAACACTTACTGTCTGTATTGCAAAGATATTTACAACAACACAGTACTGATCACTATAGAAAACACCAGGCTAGTACTGTGCTGTAAAATACCGAGCCGTCAATGATGTCAAATTTGTACTTATGGTTAAAAAAAAAAAGCCAAAGAATGATGAGAGAAGGAGGCAGCTTGTCGGAATAAATCAATTTGAGTTTTTCCGGCTTCCACAGTCACTTAATTTAGTCCTCTATTGATCTTAAATTGTTTGGTGGGAGACAATGTGTCCACGTGTCCTCGTGGATCAAGCTCTTTCAACATGGAATGCACAAACTATAAGTGAGATCCACATTTCCGCATGTTTCAGAATGCCTTATGCTTACGGCAGATTGAATCACGATATGCTTTCAGGATAAAGGATCCGTCTCAGAGGTTTGTGGGTAGCCATCTGAAATAACTGATGGCTTCAGGGCAGTTGGTCTTTCCAGCCCACGCTGATAGAGAATAGGGGGCACTGCAGTTTAGACCGTATGTGTTCACTCCAGTGTGGAATTGTTTTGTTTAATCTGACGCCTCATGATGAGGACTGTGAAAAGGGGGTCCATCAAGCAGCTTCCAGGGAGATAGTCTATTTCCTCTGCACAAAAAACAAAACAAGGGAGGATAAAATATTATCTATTTCATGCGTCCCCTGGGAGAGCTGGATGCTCAGCTGCAGTCATGAGAGACAGTGTCATGCAACAGTGAAAGGGAATTACTAGTAGCAACACAAGGGCGTCGCCTTGTTGCCCTGCGACTGTGACAAGCAAGTGTGGATTTCTCCTTTGTGGTCAGTGTGTAGTCTGAAGGAAGCAGAAGGTTCATAAATCACACAGGCAAGTGACAAATCGATCCCTCGCTCTGGCACGCTCACACTGTGAATTTCACATTTTGTGTTGTGAATCTTCTGGTGTTTTTCTGTTTTTTTTTTTATGTGGACGTGGGAGACATTACACAGAAAGACAGGAGATGGTATTGACAACTCACAGGAGTCTCTTCCTCGTTGTTGGAACTTGGGGACATAAACTGAACACCCCTGTGTACTGTCACAGTCTAAATGTGTGAGACTATAACTGAACCAATTCTGAGTGAAGTTACATCAGTGCACTGGCTCGATTCTAGTCATTAAAAAGAACATGATTGAAATGAGATGGTACATGATAGCACCCTCTGGGGAAGCTAAGGTGAGTGTAATATAATTCCATAAATGTTCCACTTGAGGTTTTCTCATTATCTTGCATTAACCTCTCCAGTCAACATGGCCGTGTGGGACTAGCAGATCATTTCCTCTGCCTAAACATCTCTGACCTTGTCTGAATCACATTGTTTCCACTACCTTAAAGGCCAATGCAATGATTTGTCCTTTATTAATAGATATAGAATGCCAAATTAATTAAAGATCCAGTAACAACCATTCTCAACCAATTGCCTTGAGATTATGAATTGCAAAATGTGTAGAGTTGGGGTGCACAGATCATGATGATGCGTTTTATACGACTGCATTTATGTCGTAGGTGTCAGTTTAGGGGCATTTCAGTGAATTGCTGGCACAGAAGGGGATCTTTTCTCCTGAATAATGTTTGTCATACATATTTCACTTTTGTACACTCCATATTTTGTTGGCATCAAAAATCATCAGGTGCGCTGACGACCGTCATGTATGGCAGTGGACAATTTTGCCTGCTCCTGTTTGAGTTTGAATGAATTAATTAGTATCTATCGATCTGTGTTTTTCTTTCAAGGGAGGTCAGATAAAATGCTAACACCTGCTTTTCTTTGAAAACTGTCCTTAAATCCTCCCACAGGACAAAAAGTATTAATAAGAAATGCTGAACCCAGAGGAACTAAATGGTCAGATGACATGTAACATCTCATTAATTCGGCAGATTGGGGTGTCAATTTGGGTTCTCACATAGTGGCAATATTACAGATATTTATAGAGATGATTATTAATGAAATAAAATGATATAAATAGGCATGTTAGCACAAATGCTAAATCTGTATTGATAATATAGACTTCATTATCAGATACCCCTGCATCGTGAAATGCATTTCAATACAAAACTATGTGATAGTTGGGAATGTTTTGTCCACCTTTATTTACGTACTTGCTGCTTGATGCTGGTACGTAATGTTGCAGTTCCTCACTTTAACCACTGGAGGGCAGTTGTGATTCTCAATACACTCAAGCTAACTAGTATCACCGTGCTAATATTAATAAATCGTCATTAATATCAGTATTTGCAGCTAATTATTAGAGTGATTGTTACAAATAGCATCAGTGACATCAGTATTTGTAATACTTGTATTAGAAAAGAGCTGTGTTGAAAACCGATTTAACATTTAATATATTTGATATTATTTTCCATGACTGTTGTTGGCCCTCCTATACTGTACACCTCCAGCCTATACCAACAATGTTGTCAAAGTGGTGTGAAGCCAAACACATTTATTGCTGACATTAGATGCAACTAAATTTGTTAAATCCGAGCACTTCTTTAAAGATTGTTGTTAACACAGATTAGTGTGGTGCCTGGTGCCTGGTGCAGACATCCCAAGGTTAATATATATCCTTTAAAACAGCATGAGAACATCCACATTGTTTTACTGGACGATCAGAGACATCTACTGGCCATCAAACATACTACAAGGTAAATGAAATCATGACAATCTGTGATTGGGGTTGCGTAAATTTTAACTTTTTATACTGGATGAGTTTGTCTTCCATCAAATGCCAATTGTTTCTTGCCCTTCAAGTTTGGGAAGGATACAAATCACAGACAGTTAATCAAATCTGGCTGTATCCAATAACTTCATTCATTTAAGCACCACCACAAATTCTGGTTAGGCACAGAAAAAAGTCTTTATTTTGTTTACAAAACATGCAAACAAATATCAAGTGAACACATTTTTTGAGATATTAATACATAAAAGCTTGATATTCACAAAAAGTAGCCACAGTGTTGAACACATGAATAAAAGACTATATCAAAGAATTCCCCCTTTTTCAATCAAACAAACATTAATAGGTCATATTTTGATTTGAAGAAACAGTTCAGTGGTCAGCTAATGAATACTTTGGAGTTTTTAAATAATAGCTTAAACTTCAGCAGACTGTAACTGATTATATGATGAGTCATGGTGATAACGCTACGGTATTTTGCTATAGAGACTGCTCTATGTCTTTCATGTGTCACAACCAGAAAAAAAGTAGCACCCGAGCAGAAACCGATTCTATCTCATTTGATTTCTAGAGCCTGTACAGAAGGCAATATGTGGTAAGGAATGTCAACCAGTCACTGTCTGACGTCCAACAGTGAATCTCAGCAAAGAACAAATATAGTGTAACACATCTCACAGTTACTGTACATCATCATTAATGTATCAATACAATGGGAATGACAGACAAAAACACTTTGCATCCTTCAATTTCTTAGCTGATAAAAGATCAGAATGTTTAGTCATTTAGAATTGAAGTAGTATGTATTTCACCAAAACATCAAATATGGAAGGCAATACCAATACCAGCAGTACTCACTGTATATAAACATCCATACGATCCTCCTGCCTTTTCTCACCATCGCTTCGCCACATTCTCCACACCAACTCTTACTACCTCAATCCTTCATAATATCAAAACAGTTTTTAATACACAGTGTTTGGTCATTCAGCTGTCCGTAGAACCACTGCCCTTATTCTTATTGCGACTGAGAGGGAACGTGGACTTGCTCTGTGGCTGGGTCATTTTGCTGGCCAGGTAGACAAAGGGTTCGATCAGAGTGCGCCGGTCCACCACCGACACCTCCCACAGACGCACCTTCTCATTCTTTGCCCAGTTCTGTGCCATATTGGGGTCGACTCTCCTCTCATCCGGCTTGTCCAGCTTGTTACCCAGAACAACAATGGTCACCTGTGGATCAGAATCACGAGGTCAGACGAGCCCCACGTCGAAGTAATCTCTAGCTCAGTCCACATCAGTGCGCTTTCACTACATCAGCATCAAATTAACCTTCCCAAGCATATGAATGGGTTCAGTCCTCACCTCCTTCTTGTCTCTGAGGCGGTCGATGTCCTTCTTGAGGGCCTCCATCCGCTTAAAGGACTCTTTACTGTCAATGCTGTAGACGAGAACAAAGCCGTCTGCAAAAGTGTAGTAATGTCGAGGAAACTCCATCCCATCCTGAAGGCCGCGGGTGTCATAGAAGCGAACCTGCTCTCGTGTGCCACGGTCAGTTTCTATAGAGCCGATGTAGATATCCTCCAGGGTCTCCATGGGCTCTGAACCTAACCGTGGAAAAACAAAGACATATGGTGACGTATGGTGTGATATACCGCAGAGGTATTAATAAAATGCTTATAATCAACACATTAGAAGTGAGCACTTTGTAACTTGAAACAAATCAGAATATATTTAGTATGACTGGGTGTCAGTAGAAGAAAACATATGCAGGAAATCTGTTCAACATTACACATGAGAGTCATAGGCCGCGGTTACAAACTGCAGTCATGATACTTTATTCTTACACAAGCTCTATGTCATGTTATTTATGCAATCAGCTCTGTTCATAATAAGTTCTAGCTTCTCCTACAAGTGCCTCTCTGGTTCTGCTTTTCATGAGCAAATTGTACTGTAATTTACATAATATATTATGCTTGTCCATTTGCTATTTCCAAAGAATTACAGAGTGCATGTGTTATTAAATAGCCTTAGATGCACCAGTATATCAGCAAGAATTAATGGCAATCAAACTTAACATTTCAATCAGAATCAGAAGTTTATTGCCAAGCATATTATTCAAATTACCTTGGTGTCTGATGCATGCAGTAAACATGGCAAGAGGAAATAAAAGCAGGCAAAGTATTGCAAAGGTCAAGAACAGAAAGAAGTATAGAACCGAAAATACAAACGATACAAATATGAAAGAGATTCTATAATAAATACTATAACAATAACATACATATAGAATAGAAATCTGAGAATGCACAGTGCATGAAAGACAGGCCAATGGTCTTATTTGAACTAATAAAAGGAAAATCGTCATTCTATAACGCAAAAGAAGGTATACCTGCAACATGATTAGCATACAGTAGTTGTTCCAATACAGCCGTTTTTCCGACTGCAGCCTGGCCACACACCACCACCTTACAGCTCTTGCCCATGACTATCAGGTCAGTGAACAGTAATCTGTTTTTCGGAGAAGATACACAGATGGGAAACTGTTAAAAATCATTTATTACACGTTACGTTATTTTATGCTATTATGTCATTACATAGCAATTAGCATAGCATCGTACTACACATGCGTTTTGGGTAACAGCATTGCAAAAAATGCTTATGTTATAAATACTTAATAGCTTAGAGCAAATAAAGATAGCAAGCATATACAAAATGTCAAGTTACGTTAGTCATGCTGATCTATAACTGAAACTAGCTCGCGTTAGCAGATTATGCTTATACATGTCTCCAATCTATGATATTAACAAATAGCTTAGCATTAGCTGTCGGTGAGAGACAGAGCCACGATAACGCATACCAAGTAGCTAATGTTATCTGAAATTGACTAACCCGAGTAAAAGTTGTGTCTTCTAAATGTATACGTTGATATTAGCTGCCAGCAGCTAGATATGTAACCGCTAATAGCTACGAGAATCTTACTTGCGAGTAGATTGCTCTTCCTACCTAACTGTCTACTTCCTGTTTACAGTGTACGTCACGACTGCAGTAAATGGCCCCGCCCCTACCCATTGACGGCAAAATGGCGTCGGAGAGCTGTGATGCTGTGAACATGGACCCTGACATGGAACTGCTCTGTGACGAAGAATTAGAAAGGTAAAAACAAATGAAGGCTATGTTGTCATTGGCATAAATACAGCGGTAGCGATGCGTCTTACTGAAATGTCTCATCTAAAGTCCTTCATGTGTTAATTTTCTTCGTACTTGGCATTATGAGCGCTAACTAGCGCTTCACCGCTGGGTAGCTACATTCTGCCTCTTAGCTAATTCCTGCACTGGATTGCTGGGTTAAATCTGCTGTTGCCTACCAAGAATACAGCGTTCACATTATTACGATGTTCCCAATGACATCCTATCTGTATAACTAGTTGATGACACCATTCGCTGACTGTGTGGTCGTGGTGTAAAACATGACAGACTTCCAAAAAAAGTAACGGGCAGTGGCCCACGCCATAGTGTCATATATTCCTGGCTCAGCGTCACTAAATAGCTTCGTGTTTGACTGTAGTAGGCACTTCTGCCCTGCTGGTTTGGCTCTTTCTATGTTTAGCGGGAATGTCCGTCACATTCCTGGACATGCTCTCTTTACTCATGATTATGAATGGGATGCTCACACTTAACGGTTTAAAGGGGCAGTGTGCAAGATCTGGCCACATGCTTCAAACAAATAGGGGGCAGCATTTCACCTCTACGACATGGGCCCTTTTCAGAAAGCAGGTTTAACAAAAAAGGCTCGTTCGAGATGAGCCAGTCCTGCGCGGAATCGATCGCTGCACAGTGCATCCTGGTTACATTTTGGGTCCGACTTGCTCTGACGTCATGCACACGTGGTCAACGATTACCTCAGGAGAGCGAGGCAGCCGCAGTTTTTAGAGCCAGGTGCCGCAGTTGCTCTCCACCGACTGCATGACCCCAATGCATGATGGGAAACGCCTGGCTGTCGCCGGATCAGAGAGCTGATTGGCTCTTAGATTTGACAACAAACACCACGTTTTGTAGAAAATCCTATTTTGTGTAATTGTAATACTTAACGCTAGATTGTTGACTATTAGTATCATGTTGTGCAATGAGGGTTTAATCTAAAGACTTATCTTGTGATTGATAAGAACAATAAAGCTTATTTATACAACACATATCGAAATGAGCATCAAAGTGTTGAACAGGCAGAAAAGAACAAAAGATAGCATACAATGCAGATGCATGCAAGTTTCCACATAAATATATATTTACAAACAAACATGAATAAATCCAAACGTGGTCTGCAAACTAGAAGTATTCTACAGATCGGATCTAACAGGATGTAACTGTTTCTTTAACTTCCTGTGTATTCTTTGAAGGCGACTGAAACCTGCACAACTTGACCGCAGGTTCTTGTCGACGCCCCCCGCTGCTGCCGCCTGCTCTCATCTCGAACGAACCTAAACTCTGAGCCTAACCCTGAACCCCGAGTTGACAAACCCTGTGATGGGTAACTGAGTTTTTGTTTCCAGAACAGCTGATCAGTTAGTTCAATTAGCTCTGAGTATGTTCACAGTGAGTTAAACTGCTATGTGGTGAGTGAAAAAATATATATATCATCAATGGAGCTTCTATTTAATTAAATTAATTGATATGCGGACTGTGCCCATTTATCCTAAAAAAGAGCCTGAGTCAAAGCAGGGAAAAGTGTCAGTAAGTTAACACAATAAAGTTTTCTTCAGGGATGTCCATTGTTTACCAGACTTACATCACCGTTACAGATGATGAAGTGGTGGACTCTGAGTGGAGTTTGCGCCGGCTGACTTGGAGATGCTACAACAGCTAACTGGAGGTCCGCCCACTGTCCTCCCGGAGACTGAAATGAAAATACGAGTCGTTATCTCATTTGTGCCACTTTGGATTTAATCCAATAAACAAACTATAGAATTGTACATGGACCGTACAGCGCCCGGTTACTGGTACCAACACACAGATGGCTAACATTAGCTATCGGACAAAACCACATGTGAAGAGAATGAGACAGCAGTGTTATTCAGAGTTTAAGCTGTTTGATTGTAACTGATGGCTGTATTTAGATTGTATGGATCCAGTAGGAGAGGTGAAATGCTGACCCTGTTAGTTTGGAGCATGTGGTCAGATCTTTCACATTGCACCTTTTTTAAAGATTTGTTTTGCCGACAAGTAGTTTAGTAATCTGTGAAACAAACCCAGCCAGTTGACCACCACACACACCTGTATAATCATGCTCTGTCCATCACCACCCTCACCTCAGTGTTGTCTGATATTTGTCTTGTTTTTTTTGTACACAGGGAAGCAGAGGGCTTCAAAGAGCAAGGCAATGCCTTTTATATCAAGAAGGATTATGCAGAAGCATTCAGTTATTACACCAAGGCCATAGGTAATTATCACCCAATAATATGAGTCAGTCCTCTTTGTTAGTCGATGGGATTGTGTTGATTTCCTGTTTGGACAAGAAATAAACGTGTGAATTCTGTCTGTCCTTGATAGGATGTCAATAACTTGTTTGTTATACAGACATGTGTCCGAAGAATGCAAGTTACTATGGAAACCGGGCAGCCACGCTAATGATGTTGTGTCGGTACAGAGAGGCGTTAGAGGATTCCCAGCAAGCGGTGCGACTAGATAACGACTTCATGAAGGTAGATTGTGGTAAAACAACCCATTTATAGATTTAATTCTAAGAACACATCAAAGGGAAAAACCTGCTCTCGTCATGTCTTAACATTGTTGAGTATTCTGTATTCTGCAATATGCACTTTCCCTCAGCCGACTAGGGCTAATGCTTTGCTAAATGTTTTCCAGAATGCTGTGGACAGTGCTGTGTGTTTAATTTAGCAATAATATGTGTAAAAAGCATTTTCTTCTTCATAATTTAGAAAGAAAGAAAAATTAACTTGAAACGTTGGACCTTTTATCTTGGAGTGTAGTTGTTTATCGCAGAGCTATGTGCCTGTTCAAATGGAGGATGTTTTATAGACGTATACATCTGTTTATAGAGTGATGTGGCTCCTCAATACATAAGCTGTAGCCCTGTGGCTACGGCACATCCCGACAGTAGTCCAGTGGGTAACTGGGAGGGATAAAAGGTGTGTCGCATAACAAATGCGTAAGTTAGAGCCAGCCGTGGTTTAGTTTTTGGTACACAGTGCACAGCTGCTTTCAACCAGGGAATTGAGTGACGTCATCTCTCCAGCAAGTGAAATGTAAGTCTTTTTACCCACAGGGCCATCTGCGAGAGGGCAAATGCCACCTAACTCTTGGCAACGCTATGGCTGCGAGCCGCTGCTTCCAGAGGGTTCTGGAGCTGGAGCCTGACAGCAGCCAGGCCCAGCAGGAGGTGAGTCGGCCTCAGTTAGATTAAGAGCATGATGTGACCACTTGGAAATGATTACCCACTGTCAAGCTTTGGCCACGCTGGTGCAAATAACGCGGGAATAGTCTGATACTGAAGAGGAGATCAACTGGAGTTACTGTTAATTCTCAATGACAAAGCCAGGATGCAAGTTTTAGGTTCTTTACAGAAGTACTGCTGCTTCTGTTGACCTAGTGTTACAAGCATGGCACAGAAGAGAGGCCATTGTTGGCTGTAAAGCTACTTATCTACCACAAGTCTTTGAAAATTGTCTCTGAACACCACACATTCCTTTTCAGCTGAAGAACGCTGAATCAATCCTTGAATATGAGCGAATGGCCGAGATTGGATTTGAGAAGAGGGACTTCAGGATGGTAAGCTTACACAGTGGTTACAACTTTATGTGATGAGTCAGCAGCAACCGACACGTTAAGCAACACAGACTTCAGGTGTGCTGTGGTTGTCTCCAGGTTGTGTTTTGCATGGACCGGGCCTTGGAGGCTGCCGCAGCCTGTCACAGGTTCAAGATACTGAAGGCCGAGTGCTTAGCCCTGCTGGGACGCTACCCCGAGGCTCAGTCTGTAGCCAGGTGAGACGGCATATTTGAAGAATACTTGGTGGCTCACTTATTTCATTTTGATTATCGGAATTTGTCACAATGAGCGCAGGGGAATAGGACGAGGGGGTGTGCACATATGCCGTAGCATACCGGACCAACTTGATGTGGCTCTCATTACGACATGTTAGTGGAGTGCCGGCAGGAACTGTGGGGCGCCTGCTCTGTTTTCAGACAGGTCAGATTCTAAAAACTTAAAGAAATAAAACCCTTTGACTGGTGCTCTGCTTCTATTACGGAATGTGTCTGTTATCCTATTTACCGACAGTTGCTGCTACACCACTGCATCCTTGTAATATCTCTCGTCTCTCTGAGGAAACATATATTATAACAGTTTATTGCAGTGTATATATATATATATATATATATATATATGCGCTTTCACTTAACATACATTTGTATCATTGGTTCCTGTTTAGTGATATTCTGCGGATGGACCCTACTAATGCAGATGCTCTGTACGTGCGCGGTCTTTGTCTGTATTATGAGGACTGCATTGACAAGGCAGTCCAGTTCTTCGTCCAGGCCCTGCGCATGGCTCCGGACCACGACAAGGCTCGGCTCGCATGCAGAGTGAGTCATTCAGTAGGAAAGAGCTTTAGAGATCAAATGAACTAAATACGACCATTACCTCACATTACCATTATTCTTATTGGGTATAGTCTGTAAGTCTGATTGACAATGCTGGTATGGTAGCCCAGAGTAGCTTTTTAAGATTGTCTTATATATATTTATATATTGTCTTTCCAGGATGCCAAAGCACTAAAAGCCAAGAAGGAGGAGGGGAACAAGGCATTCAAGGAGGGAAACTTTGAGGCAGCCTACGAGCTGTACTCTGAAGCACTAACAATAGACCCCAACAACATCAAGACTAACGCCAAGCTGTTCTGTAATAGGGCCACTGTGGGCTCTAAGGTGAGGAGCATGCACAGGAGAGACGCACACTAGTGCATCAACATCTCTCAGGTTGTTTGGGCCGGTCAGCTGCAAAATGAATCTTACCAAGGACACTTGTATTAAGTAAATCAGTAAGTTAGATCAGTAGATATCGCAAAGGAGACCCACTATATAATAGACAGGAACACAAACAAAACTACAACCTATGAATTCATCATTAATATTCATTGATACAGTGGGTACAGAAAGTATTCAGACCCCTTTAAATTTTTCACTCTTTGTTTCATTGCAGCCATTTGCTAAAATCAAAAAAGTTCATTTTATTTCTCATTAATGTACACTCAGCACCCCATCTTGACAGAAATGTAGAAATTTTTGCAAATTTATTAAAAAAGAAAAACTGAAATATCACATGGTCATAAGTAATCAGACCCTTTGCTGTGACACTCATATTTAACTCGCATGCTGTCCATTTCTTCTGATCCTCCTTGAGATGGTTCTACTCCTTCATTGGAGTCCAGCTGTGTTTAATTAAACTGATTGGACTTGATTAGGAAAGGCACGCACCTGTCTATATAAGACCTTACAGCTCACAGTGCATGTCAGAGCAAATGAGAATCATGAGGTCGAAGGAACTTGGTCTGATGAGACCAAGATTGAACTTTTTGGCGTTAATTCTAAGCGGTATGTGTGGAGAAAAGCAGGCACTGCTCATCACCTGCCCAATACAATCCCAACAGTGAAACATGGTGGTGGCAGCATCATGCTATGGGGGTGTTTTTCAGCTGCAGGGACAGGACGACTGGTTGCAATTGAAGGAAAGATGAATGCGGCCAAGTACAGAGACATCCTGGAAGAAAACCTCTTCCAGAGTGCTCTGGACCTCAGACTGGGCCGAAGGTTCACCTTCCAACAAGACAATGACCCTAAGCACACAGCTAAAATAACAAAGGAGTGGCTTCGGAACAACTCTGTGACCATTCTTGACTGGCCCAGCCAGAGCCCTGACCTAAACCCAATTGAGCATCTCTGGAGAGACCTGAAAATGGCTGTCCACCAACGTTCACCATCCAACCTGACGGAACTGGAGAGGATCTGCAAGGAAGAATGGCAGAGGATCCCCAAATCCAGGTGTGAAAAACTTGTTGCATCATTCCCAAGAAGGCTCATGGCTGTACTAGCTCAAAAGGGTGCTTCTACTCAATACTGAGCAAAGGGTCTGAATACTTATGACCATGTGATATTTCAGTTTTTCTTTTTTAATACATTTGCAAAAATTTCTACATTTCTGTTTTTTTCTGTCAAGATGGGGTGCTGAGTGTACATTAATGAGAAATAAAATGAACTTTTTTGATTTTAGCAAATGGCTGCAATGAAACAAAGAGTGAAAAATTTAAAGGGGTCTGAATACTTTCCGTACCCACTGTATATTTGCACACAAGTCATAACTCATGCATAATACAGGCACACACGTTCATTCAGTTATTGATGGGTAAAGTTCACATTCTGTCCCTCTGACGGTATAATGTGTTTTGGTGTTTTTGCCGTATTGGGAACTGGGCCACTGCTTTTCTCTCTCTGGCTCCACCTCACATGGTTACAGTGTTTTTCTTCTTTTTCTTTGTAAGCTGAAGAAACTAGAACAGGCCATTGAAGACTGCACGAAGGCCATTAAACTGGATGAGACCTACATTAAGGCCTATCTACGGAGAGCACAGTGGTACGTCCCAGGACTTCTAGCTTTGTTTGTTGATAAACGGTAGTTCTGTTCCATATGTTCAAAACTGGGTAGAGAAACAGACTTGTTCATGCTGTGCTGCAGCTACATGGACACAGAGCAGTATGAAGAGGCAGTGCGAGATTACGAGAAGGTTTACCAGACGGAGAAGACAAAAGGTGAGAATCAGACTGCTCCGTGGTGGCTGAGCAGACACAGCTTTCAGCACGGATTTATCCTCCTTATTCTGCCTTATTGTTTGTTAACCTGCCCTCCCCCTCTAGAACACAAGCACCTTCTGAAACATGCCCAGCTGGAGCTGAAGAAAAGCAAGCGGAAAGATTACTACAAAGTGCTTGGGGTGAATAAGAACGCCACAGAAGAGGAGATCAAGAAAGCTTACCGCAAGCGGGCGCTTTTACATCACCCAGGTGCTTAACTTAACAGAAAATCCACTTAATACTGTTTACAGTTTTTTCCTCTTCCCAAATAACGTTTGTACTGTTCTGTCCCACGTTTACCTCCCGTCAGATCGTCACAGCGGAGCTACTCCTGAGCTGCAGAAGGAAGAGGAGAAGAAGTTTAAGGAGGTGGGCGAGGCTTTCAGCGTGCTTTCGGACCCAAAGAAGAAGTCTCGCTATGACAGCGGTCAGGATCTGGAGGAGGAAGGCATGAACATGGGAGGTGAGCACCTGGACATTTTTATTATAAAACAGCTGTTTTAATGGTGAGAATCTGGCTGGAAAGTTCTGTGTTGATGTTGATTCTTACTTGCGTTTTTTGTCTCCACCAGATTTTGATGCCAACAACATTTTCAAGGCGTTCTTCGGTGGCCCAGGAGGTTTTAGTTTTGAAGGTAATGTCTGAGGAATTAAGTTTTTCAACCGTTCAACAGTTGGTATGATGTTGACATTTTTAAATACACCAGTTATTGACTTGTTTGTTTCAGCATCTGGACCAGGGAATTTCTTCTTCCAGTTTGGTTAGCTGGAGGATTTGTCGACCTAAACAGTTACTGCATCAGGACTTTTCAACAATGTCAACCCCCGACCCGCCATCCATATTTAATGACTGATTGCAAGTCAAGATTCCTGTCTATGCCATTGACTGAATGAACCCAATGACCACATGCAACTAATGTTTTATTAGCAAGGACTCCAGGACGGCACACTGCAATAGTGTTACTGGTTTTGGATTTGGTTTTCTTCCTTTCAGAATGAAACACACTTTAAAGTCAGTAATGGCTAGCAACGCTGGTCCAAATATTATCTGGATTTTTTGACAACGCAGCGACTTGCGCAGCTATTGTATCGGAGCTTTTAGCGATCCATGCAGGAAGGGACATCCTGGGGGAAACTCTTGAGATGCAACTGAGCATTGAGCAAGCTATTATCCACCTCGCCTCAACTTGCTGCTGAGGGGGCGTCCTCTGCATGACAGTTAATAACTTGCTTAATGATTTTTGATCCCTTAGCAAGTGGCACTTTCCCACTTTTGAAGAACATGTCAGAGAGACAGTTGGCTGCTATGAATTCACACTGAAAACTGCCTCCTTGTCATAAGCCAATAGGAGCACTTGAGCATTTTCTTTTTCTTTTTTTTTTAAGTCACAGCTGGAGCCTAGACCTCCACTTACACTACAGCTGAAGCACATTAGAAAGATGGCGGTGGAGGCAGCTGTGCTGGCGGTGGAGGCAGCTGTGCTGGCTTTGTTGCCAGCAAAGTCGCCCTCCCCCTTGTTGTCACAGGTTTTGTGTTTGATGTTGCCATTCACAGATTGATGCATTGTACATTTTACCAGAATGTAAAGTGTTGATTTGTGATGATAGTTTTTTTTTTTTTGTTTTTCCCCATTCTTTTTTTTTTTAATTTTGATATGTATATTTATTGTAAATTTGCTGTCTGATGGAGAACCATCTGTGTAAGATGGCGACACCTTTCTGTTATTTGAAAGTTTGAGAGAGACACTGATGATGAGCATCCTTGGACACAAATTGGGGAAGATAGTTGTTTTTTAGTTCGGTCTGCATGCAATATTGTGCAGAAATACATTATGCTTTATGTGTTCCTTGACTGTAATGCAAGCGGTCTAATTTAAGTTAATGCAAATTAGACGCGTTTGCTATTGTCCAAGTCATAGGGTGATGGATACGTGGTTATGTTCAGTTTACTTCCTGATGAGTTTGTTGTTCTCTTGGTGGACTTCATGAAGAAAAGAAAAGCGTCTTCATCTTTGCTCTCATTGTTTCTGCCCTTGTGGTGAAACCATCCTCTCTTTATCCTTAAAGTACCAGCCAAGTCAATAAAGTTGGCCTCCTCTGGGTTTCCCCTAAATTGTGTTTTCTTTCTTTTGTTGTGGTGGCATAGTCCGTGAAGGAGTCTTGTCACTTTAGGCTGCTCAAATATGTCCGGTCCACTGTGGAATTACTCACTACAGAAGCTAAAAAACACTCTAATCTACTTTAAAGTTTCTGTCAATATTAATAGTATTTGATCAAATCAAAAACAAATACGTGGTCAAACTGGAAACTGTTTTTTGTGCTGCATTAAACCAATAAATAGAGTTGTTACGCGGGTCGAGCACAAGATGGCGCTGTTTCTCGCGCTTGGTTGTTAGTGTTGTTGCTAGGATACCAGTTGACCGGAGACGTTGATGTGTTTGGATGACTAGTAAAGTAAAAGTCTCTGCCAGCGTTATGACACAAACGTTTGCATAGAAATGTCACACACGGACGAAGATCAAAATGGTGAAAAGCCAAACGGCGCATTCTCCACTTGGATGGCCGATGGGGACTGGTTCTACATTAAGGGAGAGTATAAAAAGGCTGTAAGCAGCTACACAACGGTGAGTTACGTTATTTACGTAGCGTAGCTAGGAATGGTTAACGTTAGCTACAGAGGCTTTGCACGTTGCACTGAACTGAAGCTTGTCATAGTGGTGATAGCTACAGAGCATTTTGGATTAACAATACTTTATCCAAGGGTGTCAATGTAACTTCAGAATCAGCTTTACAGGTCAACTACCTCACTAACCTAGTTGGCTATGTGTGTAGCTACATAAACGGAATTTGACTCCGGATTTTGCATTTTTTTTTTTTTTTTTTTCCAGTACACAGAAATAGACAGAACTGCTAAACAAAGCTGAACAAATGAAGGTACAGAAAATGCAGATATTTTACATATGATCTAGGGTTGTGGACAGATATTTCTAGAACTATCAGAAATTATAGGAAAGAATATTCCACAGTGTCCAAAAAACGTGGATCTGATTTAAACATTGAAAATTAATAACTACAGCATGGCTGGGGAAAAAAATGCATTTTAGTGAATTGGAAATCTGACTTTTGTCCTCAGAAATACACTGGATATTTGAAATAACATACTGTAGTTCAGAGAAGATCCTCTCCAGTGTAAAATAATAGACCCACCATGTTTAGGACGATTTGTGGAGCCTCCATAGATGCCTTGATGACAGAAACTGCTCTGTGTCTTTTGAAAGCATGACTTGCTTTTGGCCTTTGTTTAGGCACTGACTATAAAGCCTGATGACAAGACTTGCTTTGTTAGCCGATCCAAATGTTACCTGAAGATGGGGCAACCTGAAAATGCTTTAAACGATGCAGAGGCTTCACTCAAGGCGGACACGTCATTCTACGAGGTAGTTACAGAAATGTTAAAGCCTGTCTCTGTTAAAAAAATAAAACATGTCTTTCATATGATAAATAACAGTCGGCAACTAATTTAAATATAGGAGAATATATGAAAAGTGAAGCGTATAAACATTTATCATGATTGTTTTTTTTAGGGATTGTACCAGAAGGCAGAGGCCTTGTACTACATGGGAGAATTTGAATTTGCGCTGGTGTTTTACCACAGAGGACAAAAGTTACGTCCACAAATGCAGGAGTTCAGACTGGGTATCCAGAAAGCACAAGAGGTTATAGAAAACTCTGTTGGCAGTAAGTAATTATTTTGTGATTTAGACTAAATTATAGTCACAAAATATGAAAACCCTCCTCACGCCTAAAACCATTTGTTCCTCTCTGGCATCTTTGTAGGCCCTTCCTCTTTAAAACTGAAGGTTAAGGGAGACTTGTCATTTCTCCAAAAAGATGAGGTGAGTCTTTCTTGTGTTCCCCTTTAACAACCCAGTATTCAACAGGAAAAGTTGGAGGTAAAGCCAATGTAACAATAATTGTACACATACAAACATCAATCTTGTACAGAAAGAAAAGACCCGATGACAAAGGATTACTTCTCTAGATTGTAAAGTTGTCTGTGTATAAACTTCAACCCTGGCCTTCCTTCTGGTACATACTATTGTGTTTGTGAATGACCGGTGGGTAAAGAGGGCACAGCCAATTGCTGCTATTCAGAATCTGACAGTGAAGAAAAAACAGCAGACCCAAAAGACCCCCAAGAGTGAGAGGACAACCAAGCAGCTGCTGGGAGAGTTTTACACTGACAAGAAATATCTAGAAACCCTGCTTAAAGATGAAGGTACTGTTTCATTCCACCTTGTGTTGTTTGAGTCTCTGCATCGTTCACTTGGTACACTGTAGCTTCAAATGTTATTCTATAAGTTACTCCTCCAGTCCCACCTATACTGTGATGATTTGTTTTCACTTTTAAAAGACTTAACATTTAAAATGGATGCATGTTGATCTGCAGATTTGGTTAAAGGAAAGACGAAAGGAGGGGAACAGCTGCACGACGTCATTCAGGGATGCCTCTCATGCCTCGACTCTTGCACCGAGTTCTGGACCCAGGAGAAACCTCTCGGTGCACAGGAGAAGGAGCGTAAGCTAAGGCAGGACAAATGTAGCGAGCCCCGTCACGGAGCGCCCTCTGAACCGACTCAGTTTCTGTTGAAGAGCCTGGATGACATTGACGCAGGTAAGCCAGGCGCCTGGCCGAATCGCTTTCCTTTATAGCCTCGAAGAAAGCTCACCGTATGTTTGTCGTCATAGAGTTGACATCTGGAAATGCAGAAGGTAGTCTCAAGAAGGCAGAAGACGTCATGAAGATAGTGCAGGGCTGGTCAGAGGAAGAGGTGCCGAATAAGAAGGAAGTTTTGGGCAGCCTGCACAGTTGCATTGGGAATGCCTTGATTGACCTGGGCGCCATGGACAAAGCTTTAGAACATCATCAAAAAGACTTGGAGTTGGCTAAACAGTGGTGAGAATTAAAAAAGAAATGACAACAGTAGTGAATGCGTTTTACAACAATCGATCAAATGTTCAGTTATTCTTCTTATCTACAGCAAACTCCCAGATGCAATGTCCAGGGCTCTGGACAACATTGGGCGGGTTTATGCTCAAGTTGGACAGTTCACACAGGCCATTGAGTTGTAAGTACATACTGGAAATACAGATTCACTTGTGTAATTTATGATATTGCTCTGCTTTATTTTGATGGCAATCCTGTACAGTCACTTCCCTCTCTTAACGAGCACTCTTTTACATCGAGGTGTGACTATTGTAAATTGGTTTATTGATATTTAATTGTGCTTTCTCTGTATGTTTTCATTTCAGCTGGGAGGAGAAGATTCCTTTGGCCCGTGGCGGTTTGGAGAAGACCTGGTTGTTTCATGAGATTGGTTGGTGTTACCTCGAACTCAATCGCCACAAAGAAGCCAGAGACTGTGCCGTGCATTCAGTTGCTGCGGCCGATGAAATTGCTGATGAGAAGTGGCAGATGAATGCCAATATTTTGGTGGCACAATCAGATTGTAATTATTTATCTTTCTTATATTTACAAAATCAGTTTCTGTGACTTGTCAGCTTATGTGCCAGATATTTATCTTTTTAAAACCATTTAGATTCACGGTGCTGTTGTCATTGTACGAAAATACAGACCTGATCTCTGCTCAATTCCCTTCTGTTTCATCTCAGTGAAACTAGGAAACTTTGAATCCTGTGTGTCCCACTTTGAGAGAGCCTTGACCCAGGCCAAACTGCAAGATGACGACTCTGCCATGAACGTCATTCAGAAGGTCCCCTCACTGTTGTCACATGCTTCCCTACACCATCGCTTCAGTTCCAGCTAAAGATATTGTTTTATCGCTGACATTCATCATTGTGCTTTCAGGTCCTGGATGAGGCAAAGCAGCACCTACCACAGTGAGGATGTCATCAGTCAAGAGTTATGGTGCTTCAAAGTGCTGATTGAGAGAAACGACCTTCAGAAGACAACAATCCTCAAATGAAAAGAGAGCAATACAAGTCGTCTCCCACACTGATGAATAAGACCCAGTATTCTGCATATAGGCCTCTACGTATGTTTTTGATTAGTAACTTCTCACAGGTCAAAACATAAACAGTCCAGTATGAAACACAAATATAAACCAGGCCCTGGATTTCAGGCTGTTACTTATTAGATCATACTGTGGAATTAATATCGGGAGCGTTGGTCTCATTCTAGAAAGTTGTTCTCTATTTATGTGTATGTTCTCTGAAATAAAAATATGTATATGGGGAAGTGTTTTAAAGCTCTATATCTGGCCTGCCTCCTTTTATTTTTACAGCATTGCTACTATTTTCAGTTACAGTCCAAAACTATTTGTGAGGCTGCATTGTTGTCAGAATTCTATGAAAAACTGAAACATCTATTACCTATCAAATGCATTACTTAATATGAAAAACAGAGAGGACTCTTATCACACTTGATTTTCACACTGCAGCCTGCCAACCATGAAGTCCTTTAACCTTTTAATAAGTTAAACACAGAGCTGTACTTGCTGCAGTGAACTTCCCCTTTTCACATCTTTATTACATCTGTCACCAGGCTCACATGGTGTACTTTGCATACAGAGGATTGCTTCCTGCAGGGTTTACACTAATGTCAGTGTATATGGTTTGTCTGTAGATCACAGACAGAAGTACAAATAATGGTCATTTCCTCTTCATCCTTGGAGACTGAGCGTTGAGTTACTGCACTAAGTGAGGCAGGTCTGGACCTTAAACTGTTGACCTGGGGTGGCCACTGTGTCGTGTTACCTGACCTGAGGTGAGAGTCTGCATATCGATGGCACCTCCTTTTGTCTGAAATGTTGATAAGGAATGTAAAACAAAGTACAGTAGTAGTTTGGTCATGTAACTAAACAGAAGTCTTCGTTAAACTTGAGGAAACTTCCGCCGATACATTGCTGTATATATTTAAACCACTGTAGTCGTGTTATTCTTTGTCTGAGGCCTCATTTGCAGATAAGAGCGTCATAATATTATTAATGTATTACGGATTAATAAAAATACATGAAGTGTGAACTGAAAGATTGGAAATAATGGGAAATAAACATAGAATTTAAAATCTGTATTGATGTTAGTGCAGATGTACATCAACATATATAAAAATAAATACACACATAAATAGAATAAAACCAAAAAAGACCAAAAAAACATATAGAATCAATACATAAATTAAAAAGGTGAAGGAGACACATTAATTTTCTCTGAAAATGGTAAAAGTATAAATTAGACAAACAGTGAAGCATCATTTTTGTGTGTGTGCTTTACTTCATTCTATCTATTTATTTTCAATTCATAATTTGTATGTTCTTTCTCAAAAAACATTTCAAATCAAGTTTCAAATGCTAAATAAAAATAGGTAATCAACTGCAGAGGTGTATCACACACTTCTGATTTGTTTTGTTGTCGTCTTCTCCAGCGGCGTCCTTCCGGTCCACAGGGGCGTGTCTGTGGCCCCGCCCAGTTGCGCGTTCCCGTAAATTTCCGTTTTCCTTCTTGAAGAGTGGAGCGGGTGCGTGTCTGTACCAAAGCTTTGCCTTGTCATTGTATCCAGAGAGAAACGCGTGGTCAGCGGACACTACCGACAGCTCCACTGCAGCCTAACTGGTAAGCTGGTATTCTAGCAAACAAAAGCCATTCACACGGGACGCTGCATCTACATAATTGTGTTTTTTCTGCATTACCAGCCTAAATAAGTTCCTCCAATAACAGTCAGGGGTTTGTAAACGCCAGGAAAGCATCGACTTGGTAAGACGTGGCGCTGTAGCTGGTGATGGTGTAGCCAAATTGAGTGACTGCCAGGCTAAATTGTTTTTGTCTCGTGTGCTAGCGTTAGGTGCACGCCACTCCCCGCCTGGCCAACATCGTGCAGTTAGCACCATGTTCATCGATTCCTCTGTTTTAATGCAACATTTGAGCTCACTTATACATTCTTAGTCAAGTAAACGTGTGATGTATTTAGTACAAACTTGCCATAAACTAAAACAAAAAAAAAAGATAATTATCCCCTCCCTCACTGCGCCATTTGCTGCTGCTGTACATTACCTCGCTCGTAGAAGTTTGAGACACTTGAAAGTGTCAATATCTCCCAAGCTGTGTCTGTTTGTTTCGTTTATTCGATATTCTCGAGCTGGAAAAAGAAACCCCTGAGTGTCGTGTTTGTCTTTGTTGAGCGCTGGTGTGAGAGCTTCCCCTTCTGTCTCATGACTCGATGTGGTGTCGCACATCTGTTAAAATCCAGCCTTTAGTAACGGACTTTTTTTTTTTTTTTTTTTTTTTTTTTTCTAAGAACAATTCTATCACGTATTTTCCTAACTACCCCTTTGTGTGTGTCTGCTGACAAAGCTTGGCGATGCAAGGTTTGAATATAGTATTTTTGCACACATGCTTATGGCCACTGGCACACAGATCTATTTATTTTTTTTTTTTTTTTTGGCTCTAATGCCAAAATGTTGCCACCCCTACTGTATGCACACGAGTACGACACCCCTGCTGAACATAAACGGGCACTATAGCTCAAAGTTGCACAGTCATATTGGATGGCATCGGATTGTGTGTTATCTGGTCTGCACATCCCCCAACATTTTGTAATGTATCAAACCGATCCACCCCCTACATCTCCATTATCTCTCTTAAATCATGGATGTTGAGTAACTTCCCGTTTTGAAACATTTTTTTTTTTTTTAAATGTATATATATTTTTGGCCTCTAGAAAGGGCATGTGATATGCGGTCAGAAGTGATGGTAAAAACAAACCTGTACATCTAAATATAGACTTCTCTCCTTTTTTTTTTTTTTTTTTTCTTTTTTAATTGTCTTTAAGGTGGTGTGTGAAGTCAGACTTTAATCCAGACATGGACCTTGAAAAGAGTGCAGAGGTTTTGGATTTGCCAGGGACTGAAGTGGAAAAGGCGGTTGTGTCAAAAGTGGAGCCGCCAGAGGAATGCCCAGAGCCTGAGAAGCCACCAGCTGCTGATGAAGAGGCCAAGCAGCTGGCAGTGACTGGTCATGATGCAGAAGTCCCAAACATGAAGGAAACACAAGAGTTGATTGTTACGCAGTCTGAGGGAACAAACAAAATGGAGATTGAAAAATCTGACATGGTGCCCGTTGCGGTGACGCCACCAGATCTAGATGAGTCATCGGAAAAGACCTCTGGCCCAGTCGCAGCTTTAGACACGGAACCAGAAAACAAGAAGCCGGTGCCAGAGAACGACCCAGAACCGTCGTCTGTGCAAACGCCTCTGGCCGAGAGTGCCCCTGAACCAGAGCCAGAGAAATTGGCAGAATCGGTTCCACAAGCTGACCTACAAGAGCAAACATTACCTAAACCAACAGCGCTGCAGCTGCCAGTAGACACACAACCAGCCAGCCAACAGGAGAACGGGTCAGTGCAAGTGGGAACTGTGACAGAGTTGCAGACTGCAATGGATACCGTGGCAGAAGAAGTTTCCAAAGAGGAGGTGGTGGGAAAAGATGTCGCGGCTGAGCCGACAATGGAGGTGAAAGAAGAAAAAGCAGCAGAGGTTTCCTCGGTGAAGCCAACAGAGGCTGTGACATTAAAGGAGGAGGCATCAGCTGAAAGCATGGAACCTGCAAAGGGCGAGAAGGAAATGTCTGATACTCTAAAGGAAGCAGCAGTAGCAGAAGGCGTTAAATCTGAGAAGATTGGTGCCGAGGTTCAAAAGGAAGAGGACACCGTCCCCGCATCTGGCTCCCTGTCCTTTGCCCTCCTGGACCGAGAGCAGACCAAAGACGCCCTGCGAGCATCTCGTACCCTTGTTGTCCTCCGAGGCCTCCCGGGGAGCGGCAAAAGCTTCCTGGCGCGCGCCATAGCTGAGGCCTATGATGGCCACTGCTCCGTCTTCTGTGCCGACGACCACGGCGTGAAGCCGGAGAATCCCGAGTCGTCTGCGGAAGGATACCGGGCTCTGGACGAGGCCGTGGTGGCCTTCTGCAGTGCAGGAACGGCCTCCTCTGTGCTGGTGGTGGTGGTGGACGACACCAACCACACCCAGGATCGACTGGCCCGCCTGGGCGACATCGCTGCTCAACAGCGCCTCGTTGCGGTCTTTTTGGAGCCGCGTACCGAATGGAGCCGAGATCCGGCGCAGCTGACCAAGAAGACCGGACGTGGACTGGAGGTGGCCCAGCTGGAAGCCATGAGGGGTTCACTTGAGGAGATGTCTCTTCCTCTCTACTTTGGCTGGTTTCTTCTCTCCTCCATCCAGGACAAGGTGAGGTGCACATCAATGGACTTCCTGAAAACGCTGGACACCTTGGAGGCCTTCAAGAAGCACTTGATTGACTGTGAGTGTGTTTATAAGTAAATTAATTTTAATGCAAAGTGTTTAAGTCTTGCATGACTAAGATGTAGCTGATCTTGTGTTGTGTTTACAGTCACTGGGAAAGCTGAGAAGGAGGTGGATTTGGAGCAATACTTTCAAGCTAAAGGAACCCTCCACTGCACTGCAAAGTTCTGTGACTATGGAAAGGCTGAGGGTGCCAAAGAGTATGCACAGAATCCAGTAAGAAACCCGTCGAGTGTTTTCTTAAAGATGTTTTTTGCAGTAAATGATTGAAAAAACATAAATCTCTCTCTGTTCGTAGGCATGTAAACGTTTTACTTTTCTTTTTATTTCATGCATTGTTGGGTGAACATTTCAAAGAGCAACATCCTAGCATAGTAATCTTGTGATCTTTCTATTTTTCTACTCTCCAGGCTGTTAAAGATCTCTATGGTGCTGCATTCGAGCTGTCTCTGAGCGCCCTCTTCGTGACTCCTCGCACCGTTGGTGCCCGAGTGTCCCTCTCCGAGGAGCAGCTCCTGCTGTGGCCAGCTGATGCCGAAAAGGCGGCGGGGTCCGCCCCCCTGCCTCTGGGAAGCCGCGCCCATGTCACTCTCGGATGCGCCGAGGGCGTCGAGCCGCTTCAAACGGGCCTGGATCTGCTGGAAATCCTGGCCCTGTCGAACGGGGAGCTCATCGAGGAGATGGAGCTCGGCTCGCTGACCTATTACGGCGAAGGGAGGTGGCTGCTGGCTCTCAGGGAGCCCATCTGCACCCCGGCCTGCTTCTCCAGCTTCTACGACCACAAGGAGGTCGAGCTGACCAAAAAAGAACCGGAGAAGAAAAAGAAGAACAAGTGCACCATACTGTAAATGGCAAACACGGGGATGGTGTGTCTGGGATGACTGGTGAATTGAGACTTAGGCTTACTCTGTGCAAGGTTTGTGCAGCGTTTAGGGTTCAGTTACAGCCTCCCTAAATCCACAAGCTGAGTGCCTTTTTTTTTTTTTTTTTTTGTTACTGTTGATTTGCACCACAACCCAAGATGCCTTCAATCCAGTTAGGCTAGTTGACAACATGTCTTGTTTCACACATCGGTGCCAGAGTTGCAGTGCCTGGCTGTCTGCTGAGGCGTTAGCTGCAGGTTTAGAAGTTAGTGTAGACGGCTCCCGTTATCTAACACTTAGATTTCCTCCTCTACACATGTTGTTGTCTGTCAGTATTCAGATGTGAGTAATTAGGTACTTTCTTTGCATGCAACAAAAAAAGAAAAATTTAAAAATAATGCATTTTATCTGTCTCATACAATAATGATATTTGATTTGCATATTCAATCAAGCATAGTAACCATTCTGCTCTGCTAAAAGTACCTCTTCTGCTTCAACAGAATTGGTTTAGTGTTTCCTGTGGCTTAGTTGAAGAAAAAAAGTAATTTTTGTCTGTGTGCGTGCACTGCCTAGGAAGTAGTTGTTGCAATAGCATATGGGCCAAAGTTATCTATTTGATTAAGTGTATTAGAATGAATGTCATTTATAGAGGTCCTTCCTTGTAAGATCTTTGCATAGTTTGAATGGGAGAATGCTGATGAATTTTGCTTTTGTTTCAGCAGCTTGCACTTAATACTTATCAAATGCTGTGAACCCAACTTCATGTTTTGCAACTTTTTCTACTACTGCACCGTTGATCCCTTTTTATTCTCTTTGAACGGCACTTCATGTGTTGCTTTTCAATTTGTATCCCCCTGTGACTGTCATTTTTTGAAGGCCAATTCCTACTCTTGTGTAGCTGTTATGAATCACTATTTTTGCACTTGTTTTGTACACTTAATAAAAAAGAACATTGCTTTGCTCCAGTAATGCAATTTGCTGTGTGTTCATTATGCTGATGCGGCTTGGAGTCTAGCATGCAAAATGCTGATACCTCAGTGTATCTGCACATAATCAATCTCTCACTGGATGCAGCTGTAGTGGCAGGTATACACCACCAGAGGGCACTCATCCTTTGTGTGGTGCTTGGACAGTAAACACATCAGTGGTGAGATGTGTACATTTAACCTGTATTAGCTTCTAGTACATTGTGTAAGATTTGGCTCAGCTATTGAAATACTGTGATTTCAAACATTGTCCAATCCAGTCTGTGGCACAATGTGTAATCTCCCTTCAGTTTGCCCTTGTGTAACAATCTGGCACAGTCGGTCTATGTTTCGTAGCATTTTATCTATATATTATATGTGTGTGTGTGTGTGTGTGTATATGTAGATGTGTGTACACACATCTATACACACACACTGCCAGGTAGCTTGTGAATTTCACCAACGGGTTATGGATCTGAACCTACAAAGTAACTTTCCACCAATGTATACAATCCATTAAATTCTGATCATAAACTACCATAAAAACGTTTTAATCATGCCTCAAACAACACACTATAATGAAATATGTTTGCTACTAAATACCATACTTCAAATTATTTGTACTAGTGCTGAGTTTTTCCACAAACGACTAAAAAGGCAACTGACACGTTTACTCCACAGCATCCTTGAAACTAAACTATTTGTTTAGGTCAAGGACAGGTTAAAGGCCATGAGCTGTTCTACATTCACAATGTTATCCTCACGGTGCGGGATGGTGCGTGTCAGACTTGATGTGCAAGATGACGTGATGGCTGTGTAGATAAAGAATGATGTCAACCAATCAACATCGGCCCTTTTTTCTTCACGAGTGGTGCGTGGGTGAAAGAGCGCTTGCGCTTTGAGAGGACACTATTGGTGCCTTCAAGTACTCCCCGGAATTTCTTTTTTTTTGTTTTGTCCAATGAAGTTTGTGGAAAACTAGAGTGCGTTTGATCTAATATATTTAGAAAAATCCCGTGGTGGAAAAAATGTTTAGACCCTGTACGTAAGTAAGTGAGTAGAACCTACTCTCCACCAGTGCGAAACTGTATCTTCCAGTGGCGAAATTAGGTGGAGAAAATGTACACTAGGCATGTAATTGTTTAATTTTGAAGCAAACAATAATTCCTGAAACTCTCATAATAATAAAAAGTCCCACATGTTGATATTTCCTCTTAGCACGCTAATATTTAAATTGGATTTATTTATGAATATAATATAGAAAAAATGTTTTTTGTAATAAAAAAATTCAGTTCAACATACAATTACTTGAGTTAGATTTTTAATGCAGTACATGTATTAGTACTTCAGTAAAGGAGCTGGATGGTGCCTCTATCACTGCTTGTTTGCCCGTTTGAATTACTTGATCTGTTCGTGTGCCTCCCATCGCGTGGTTTCAATATTTCCCAGTGTCCCTGAAGGCAGCAATAGAGCATGGTGTGGAATGAACCAATCAGAAGCGAGGAAACATCAGCCTAGCCTATCGGCAGATCGGCGATGGAGACAAAACTCCCAGGAAGCTCTGCTCCTCGGCACCTCTGATATCCACAGACGGCAAGAGGGAAGCAAGAATTTGCGAGAAAAATTCACATTTGCATCCGCAACATACTTCAAGAACCGTCAAAGGAAGAAAATACACAAGGTAAATTAAATATTGTATTTAAATATGCATTTACTTTTTTTTTTGCTTTCTTCCCCTAACTCTGTCTCTATCTCTGATTTACAAAAAAAAAAAGTTGACCTGCTCTGTCAACCCACGGTAAACCTGCCACATCATGCTTATCAAGAAGTTAGAGTTATAATCACTGAAAGTTTTCTTGGAATGTTGGACATCTGCCAAAACATAGCTGTCTGGCTGGTTTATAAATGAATGAAGCGGTCTGCTGAGTAATTTATCTCGGGCATCAGTGGATCTCTGTTTGATCTATGAACTTTGCAAAGCCAGGCAGGGTTTGTTGTATACGTCAGTACGTTATAAGTGAATATGAAGCACACACTTTCATCTTTTTTACCTCACTGTCTGTCTGATTTAGTTCCACTGGTCCAGATCTGTGCCTCCTCCTCCTCCAGTCATCCATCATCGCCTCTTTTTTAGATCTTATTGTGCGTCATCTGAATCAGTGTTGCTGCTGATGTGACGCACTGATATTTAATACCTCTGACACTTCAGTTTCACAGAGAAAGTAGATGATGTATGGAACCTGCATGCGCTTTTTGGATAAATGGACGCAGCGCGGTGGTGACTCAGGACAGGAACGATGATCAATAAGGAGAATGACAGTCCCATTAATCCATTTAAGAAACGGCTGCCAGGGCCGGAGTGTGGAGCAGGAGTCCTGTTTGAGCCGACATCAGGGCTTTTAGCTTAATGAACCACGGACAAGAAACAAATGCAACATCCCGCAGAGGGTTGCATGATCCACAGACAGTGACTCTGATTCAGGAGAGACGGTAATCAGTAATACCCCCTCTGTGTGTTTTAGCTTCAATAAGCCATGTTTCTCAATAGTGATGCACGTTTGATTTGAGGTAGAAGCAGTGAGAATAGTTGGAGTTGCAGTTGGTCCAGTGTGTGCGTGTGTGTGTGTGTGTGTGTGTGTGTGTGTGTGTGTGTGACAGTAGCTGTTGCATCAATAATCACAACAGAACACGTTTGCATTCAATTAGCCTAAAATCAAAAAATTTGATCAAATATACTCTTTTTTTAAATTTTTTTTAGGTCAGGTCAAAAGCTGCGTTTCTGCAAGATGTACAATATATTCTCGCTGATCGGAAAGCAACAACAAGCTGCTCAGATTTCAGGATGGAGTTTAATGTGAAAATGTCCAACGTCAGGGTACACCATGTGATTGTAAGTGATGCAAATCTAAATTACAGCGTAGTTAATTTCCCAGTTTTTTTCTGATCTTGGTCCAATCATTGAAGAAAAATGATTCCATGTTGCGTCTTATGCGTCTCCTCTAAAAAGACAAAGGAACCGCTGTCCAGTAAAAAGACAGATAATGTCTTTCAAGATTTTCTATCACATTTTGATTTATATGAGAGTTCTCGTCTGGATGGTGGAATTCACCTTTTTAAATGGCTTTAGTCTCGTACTAATGCCAGGTGTAGCTAAGGTAAGAGAGAATATAATAGAGTAACGCTGGTTTTAAAGACAAACCCTGACGTCCTGCTGTGTGTGTGTTGGTCCTGTTGGAGATGACCTCATCGAGTGAAGCTTGTGGCCAAGAGTGTAAAGGTCATAACTCCGCTCTTTTGTAATTAAAATGTATGGACGCTATAATAAAGTACTTGAGTTTAACTTTACTTCCGGCACATTCTGATACTCAGAAGTTCATAGAACCGAAAAACAAATGTCTTTCTCTGCTGCTTCCGGGCTCTGTTAATAATTGTTAACTGTCACTAGATTACTGCTGCAGTTGCAGGACGGTGGAGAGAGTCCAGTTACTACACTCTGCACACTTGATCGTGCAGAGTGGAACCTGATTGTTTGGCAAATAAGTGCACATTACCTCATTAGTGTGCAGGTCAAACAAAGCGAGGCTAATCGTGTTGTATTTAGCTGCACTGGCTTCGCTGTCTGTGTCATGCTGTACTCAGTAATCTGACAGAAGGCCTGAATCTGTAATCAGATTTTCTAGCCTCTTAATTCTGTGCAGTTAAATTTCATTATGTCAATACAATTAATTGAAAATACAAATCAGGATGCTGTCTAAGTAACCTGGTTTACGAGACCATTTCTTGACTGTTCTGATAGCAGAGGATGTCGGACATGTTGTTTTTGTTTCCCCCTCACTCATAAAGGAGATCGTGGATGAATTCAGAAAGCAGTAAAAAAAAAAAAAAAAAAGGCCTCTAAACTCTCGTGCTCATGTCTCTGTCCACCGTTTACGTCTGCTTTTCTGTATTCATCCCCCTCTCAACATCTCTGTGTCTGCCTCTCTTCTCGTCCTCTCTGGCCAGTCTACCCCAAAGCAGTCATGTCGGCCAAAGCCATCTCTGAGCAGACGGGCAAGGAGTTGCTCTACAAGCACATCTGCACATCGGCAGCTGTCCAGAACAGATTCCAGTATGCCAACGTGACGGCCGAGACCGACTTTGACCGACTGGCGAAAGAGCACCCATGGCTGCTCACAGAGGTGAGGCAGAAGATCCAGCTGTGAGAAAAATAAAACACGGATTCAGACGTAAGATTTTCTGAAGCTAAATGAACAGCGAGTTTGCGTTATTATCCCAAATGTATAGCCCATGAATGCCTAAAGCACAGTCGTCCATAAGGCTGTGGGAAATGATCTCCTCTTTATGGAGACAATCACTTAGGCTGGCAGCAGAGTGCTCTCTTGGCGCTTGTTAGCTGACGTCTCAGACAGCAGAGCGATCCAGCAGCTCTGAGGAAATGGAACGAGGATGCAGAAGAGAACATCGCATCTCATTCCATTCTCAGTTGGTGGAACAGAAATTGTCTCTCGCTCTGTCGACGGGTAGGTCAGGGGGGGGGGTTCAAGCTCGGGAACGGTTTCTTGGCACAAGCGGCTCTCCAGGTTGCAGGACGGTTGCGTGGCCTTGCTTTCAGATCGACTCTCGCTGTTCTTCATAGCGGAGCACTGGCAGATAGATGGGCCGTAATATAAGTTAATTGAATTACGCCGTGACTCATCTCGCAGGATGAGATGACATTCTCCCCCTGTGTCTCCCTCCCTGCTGAAGGTTTTATTTATCTACAAGGATGTGGAGGGCAGATGCATGGAGATATGTGCAGTAGAATTGATTAGGAAATTGCATTAACTTTCACCCTCGCGACCCTCTTTCTTTGCTCCCTGGCGAGCACCCAGATACTAATGGGTCCACTGTCATAAGTTATTCTCTTCATCTGTCTTGCCAGTGAGAGGAGTCAGGCTCAGTCGGTGGGGGGGGGGTGTTGGGTGTTGGTTTGCATTTGCGTGAGAAGTTCCTACTTGAGTAACG